GAGCGAGTTGGAAGCCGCTGGCGTTCCCGGATCAGTTCCAGCCTGTGCGGCTTCCTTTATGGGGACTCCCCAATCGCCGCTTCTCCCTCGGTTATTTTCTTTCTAGTGAGTCCAGGGCGTTCTCATTTGGCTTGAAACTTGTAGCATGAAAGTCTATAGTCCGTTTTTGTATAATCCCGTGCGAGTTTGGATGTAGTCGTCTCGGTGTCTTTATTGTGCCGCTCTCTTGGGGGTTCCCGAGCTGGTGGAGCTGATCAGCGTCTTTGCGCAGCGCCCAGGTGCTCTGATGCCCAGGTGCTCTGATGCCCAGGTGCTCTGGATCGGGTCTGCAGTTTCAGTGGTTTTTCTCTCACCCAGGTATTGAGGATCAGATTTGCAGTCTTTCCGCAGCCTGGGCTCCACTCACTGAGCTGAGCCGTCCAGCTTTACCTCCAGGGTTTAGCGTGGGGCAAAGCGGCTCCTGCAGCCCGCTGAACTTCCAGGGGCCTGGGTTTTCCCGGGAGTTCCCTTCTGGAATTCCCCAATCGCTGATTCCCTCTCAGTTATCTACCTTCTAGTGAGTCCAGGGTGTTTTCGTTTGGGTTGAAACTTGTAGTAAATGAGTCTATAGTCTGTTTTCAGTCCTCAATTCCTATGCAGGCTTGGACGAGGTGATCTCAGCGTCTTTACTCTGCCGCCATCTTCTTCCCCAGAGATTATTTTTAAATAGTTCTTCAGCTTCCAATTGTTTGGCTATTTTCTATTACCTATTATTGATTTATAGTTGTTTCCATTATAGTCAAAGAATATGCTCTGTGATTACAATCCATTAAATTTTTTGAGGTTTATTTTATGGCCCAGGGTATGGTCTTTCTTGGTAATACTCAATGGGCACTTGAAAAGAAATGTTTGCTCTTGTTGGGTAGTGGTCTTTATTTATCAATTAGACTTTTTAATTAATTGTGTTGTTCATTTCTTCTGTACCATTGCTGATTTTCTCTCTAGTAGTTCTGTCTATTACTGAAAGGATATTAATGTCTCCCAGAATTATTGTGACTTGGTTATGCCAGTTTCTCTTACCACCTCTATCAGTTTTTCGTTTCCTTTTATTTTTGAGACTCTGCTGTATGTCTTTCTCGTAGATTGATACTTTAATACTTTAATGCTGTATTCACTGTGCTTTTAAAAAATTAATGTGTCAACTTTGCATATACCTTTTTCAATCTTTTACTTTCAGCTTGCCCCTGTCTTTGTATTTGAAATTTCTTATAGACAGCTTGTCTTCTGCTAATTCATCATGCCATTGTTTTTGTCTTTGTTACTCTCAGACAGGTAGAAAGAAAGAGGCTGGGTCTGGGATTCTGTATTGAGGTTGAGGGTGGGAATTCTTGGTGACTTTAAAGCAGCAGAATGGGAATTAAAGGTAGAAAGGGAAAAGCAGAGTCGCCCAGAATGACCACCCAGGGCTTTCTAAAAGGGAACTTCTTGGGTGGGGCAGCCAGGCTCTATCTAGTTGTGTAGTTGGCAATATGTTTATTCCAAATGTGTGTTCTTGAAATGGATGCTTGAGCATTACTATAGGCAGACTGTTAAACCACTTATATTAAAGATAATTATTAAATTATATTCAAACTTAAGTCTGCTATTGTATTACTGTTTTCTGTTTGTTTCCTTTGTTTCTCGTTTCTTATGTTCCTGTGGTTTCTTTGAACATTTTTTGAAGATTATATTATGATGTGCTTATAATTCCTTAATGTATCACTTTGTATTGTTAGTTTAGGTGGTGTTGTAGGTATTACATTATATTTCATAATGTATGCCATTCTAACAACACCAATATTTTATCAAAATTTTGTTTAATCCCTTTAGCTCCCCTCCCCCAGTTTTAAATTTAATTCTATTTCTTTTACATGGGTCAACTCCATTTTGGTAAAAACTGGAAGTACATATGCTTGCCTTTCGTCTGTTGTCTATGCTGAATTTTTTATTCTGATAGTTTTATTTTTTTTTAATTCTAGTAGTTGTATTGATTACATATATATAGTCAAGCCTTCCTCAAAAATGACATTTTCACCCATCTTTTTTATATCTCTACCTATTGTTTATTTCTATCTTACTGTCACATAAAAAGCTGTCTTGATTTTTCTATTTTTCAACATCATAATGTATATTCTTTTTAGTTTACCTGCATGTAAGTTTGCCTTTACTTTCTCACTTCCCCACCTCATCCCTACATTCACGTGGCTTGTTCTCTGTCTTTCTAAAAGGTCTTTACTCAGAGTCACATTCTTGATGAGATTTTTCCCTGTACATACCCCTCTAAAGTTGTAATCCATCCTTTCCATCAAGTCTCCCATTCTTTCTGCACTTGATTTTCCGCACATTTATAACCATCTAATATATTGCTTTATGTACTCACTGATCAGTTACCCATTTCTCTCTTGGACTGTATGTACCATGAAAGCAAGAATCTATTTTTGTTCACTCTTTATTCAGAACAGAATCTGGCACATATGCTCAATAACTATTTAAATATTATACACATTCTTCTGTTTAAACCCTTCAAGTTGGGATTGTTAGTCTAGAATGGAATTTTTTAAAATAGTTCTTTGTACCTTTTGCCATATAACTTTGGTTTTTGTTTTACCTCTTATTTGTGTTAGGTAATGCTTTTCATATGGTTTAAAATTCAAACACTAAAAAAGGGTTTGTGTTGAAAAGTATAGCTCCCACTCCCATACGCAGGCCCCCCCATTCCTCTCTTCAGAAACAGCAGGCTGGCGTTGTTGTTTTCTTGACACTCCATGCAGATTGTCCCATGTCGCTTCCTAAAATGTTGCTACCGAGTTACTCTATAGGACAGCGTATTACACTATAGGACAGCGTATTTCACGGTTATCTGTCCAGAAAAATCTTGTTTCCCTTTCTGTCTACTGCCCTGTCCTCCCGAGTGGCCAGTGTCACTGACCATTTTTTAGTGACACCTGCTAAGGGAGCAATATAATGAACTACTATTTTGCCCATGCTGTTGAAGCTTAAAATTAGGTAGAATGGGAAAGTACTCACACTTATTAAGTAACATGGGTTAAAAGGAACAAGATGAGATATGTAGGAGATATCTTGAAACATTGAATTGTCAAATTATAGATAGCAAATTTCATGAAAATTAGTTCATCAGAGTGAAGTGTGAGTATATTTTAGTATCAAAAGAAAAAGAATACATTGGGTTTGAATAGTCTTGAAAAGAGTGTAAAAGGAAAAGAGTATATTACTAGCATCTTATGTGTGTATCTATGTGAAATCTAAACTTTTAAGATCCTATTAGGAATTTACTTTTATTCCATGAGATTTGCAAAGACAAATAACAAAGCCATTATCGTCAAAGAAGAGACTTTATGTGCTTTCAACAAAGTCAGTGAGAGGACTTGGTCATTATAAATTAGTATTAAATTGAGTAGGAAATTAGAACAAGATCATAGGCATTTAGAAAAATTTTATAGGAAACTCGTGTTTAAGGTAGAACTAGAAAGATAAGGTTTTAAACTGGTGTAAAAAGGATTATATGGTGAAAGACTAGTAGAGAGGTTGGTTGGTAGATGTTAAACCTTCTCTTTTTAATGAAGTTTTATTAGAATACAGCGATGCCCGTTGTTTATAGATTGTCTATGTCTGCTTTCATGAGCAATTGAAACAAGTCATACCACTACAAAGCCTTAAATATTTACTACCTGGCCCTTTACAGGAAGTTTGCTGATGCTTACAAGTAGACAGAATGTATGTGGGAAAGCATTATTGATATCTGCTAAATAAAATAAAATGATGTATTTAGTATAGTTGGAGTGGGGCGTCACTAACCCAAGGGTAGGTGGTTAAGGAGCAGTCAACTTTGAAGGAATATAATAGGAGGAGGCAGAGAGGTGCTATTCTAGGCTGTGATAATAGTTCAGTGAGAGACAGATGTGATTTGTCATTAATCATGCTTTTCTAATCTTTCCTTTACTAGCCAAAAAGGATCAGGAAGGTGGAGAAGAAAAGAAATCTGTACAAAAGAAAAAAGTAAAAGAGTTAAAGGTGTTGGATTCAAAGACATCCCAGAATCTTTGTAAGTAACTCTGTAACCCTAAGTATTTGATATGTGAAAGAGTTCTTTTAAGATCAGGATCCCTTGGCCTTCCCTGGTGGCATAGAGGGTTGGAGCACTGCACTATGAAGCTAAGCCAGGCCATGGCTGCTTCAGTGCAAGTTCGATCCCTGCCCCAGAGGTGATCCACATGGCATGGCAGACCTCCCCTGTCTTGCCCGCTATTCCTCTCAGCAGTGTACCTTGTCAGTCTGCCTGTACTGCTCCCCACTCTGTCTCTGGTGAAGCCTGTCACCACCTTTACTCCATTTCTGTATGCATAAATAAATAAAAGTCAAAAAAAAAAAAAAGATTAGAATCCCTTGATTGAAAACTTCCATTTGTTAAGTTCCCTCTGTATACTTGGCATTGCATAGTGATTTTTTAACATTTCTTTTAATCTCTTTGATAGCACTGTAAAATTATTAATATCACTTTACAGCATGGAAATAGAGGCTAAAACTTTTAGGAATTTGCCTAGTCACATACCTACTAAGAGGCAGGTCTGGGGTTTAAAGCTTGGGTTTTCTTGTTTTAAAGCCCTTATTAAGGTTATTTCCTTAACCTCCATTGCAAGCCCTTATTTCCATTGCAGTATTCTAACCACTGTACATTTCTTTCTTTCACACTTTAAGTATTTCCTTTAATGTTTAGTGAAATAAGCCAGAAAGAAAAAGAAAATTACCCGATGGTTTCACTCATAGCAGCAGCATAAAGGATCAGGGGAAAAATAATAATGAACAGCTATATACCAGAGACATTTTATGGGCGTGGGGTGGGGAATGGGATCAAAAATGAGGGGAGGGAAGTGCACTGGACTATGGTGATGGTACATGGGTGATGGTGATGGGAAGCCCACAGAGGGATTATAGCTGAGATGAAAAAGGCACAAAATGATGTAAAAATAAACTATTATTAAAAATATATATACATTTCCTTTAAATTCAGGGTCTCATTTGACTTCAGTTAAATCTAAAATAACTTTGGGGTTTAGAATAATATAAGTATAGCTCCTGAGAGTTCAGTTAGTGTTCTTCCTGTTCACATATTTGTTCAAATAATTGAGGTAACTACAAGGCATGTGTTCCAGAGGTGAAAGGATAATATATTCCATGAAGCCCCCTTACAGTCTTTTAATGTAGCTATTGTTCCCATTTTTCAAAATGAGAAAATCCTGAATTCAGATGCAATTTAGCCAAGGTTGCACAAGAAATGAGTATGCATACCAATAGATAAGCCAGTGGTACTATGAGAAAATAGTAAGACTTTATGTTATTCTTGGTTATATAAGCTTAGCTTATTGACAACCAATATTATTTAATAGTGTTGGTGGGTAAGTCCTTTTATGGAGACTTTTATAATATGAGGTTATTTCCCTCTCAAGACTGTTACATGTTATAAGTAACTGTCATTGTGGAAACTTCAGGGTATTACATTGTTTCCACTTGAGTGATATCAATATGGAAAACAATTCAGGAAGATAAATGAAATTTGTTTAGACAGAATGGTGAATAAATGTAACTTAGTGATTCACTGATTGCTTTTTGTATGCTAGGGAAAGCAGTATAAGGCATAATACCTATGTTTATGAACAATACATTTGATGGAGACAGATAAGAAGTTAATGGTAATAGCATGGGTTGAGAAGTCGTAGTGGAGGTCTATTAGAGTTCTTCAGAGAGCACTGGAAAGGGACGTGGAAATAAAGTGAAGGAGCCATTCAAGGGTCATTCTAAAGGAGGTACTGCTTAAACGGAGTTGAAAGAACTATTAAAAATAGACTCAGTGAGGAGTGAGAGCTGGCTTGTTTCAGGTGGCGGGATCAATATTGAGAAACTGCTAGTAGCTTTGTACAGCTTAGGTCATACCTGAGGGGTGGTGTTGGAAGCTAAGTCATAAAGAATTCTTATACCATTAGGCTGAGATACAATTTTTTATCCTAAAAACTGTGGAAGTTATCACAGAAATTTTAATCAGAAAAGTTAGTGATATAACCTTGTGAGATTGTTGAGGACATTTACTTCAGCAGTCATTTTGATGCTGAGTTGGTAAGGTGAGACTGTAAGCATAGAGGTAAGTTATGTTATTACTTTAAACTAAGGGAGGGGGGACCTGAACTTGAAATCCCAGTAGTGAAACTATATTGGGAAATAGAAAATATTGGGAAGATTGGATTAATGAAACTTAGTGATTGAAGGTTTAGAAGAGAGTTTTCTTGAATTTAGATCACTCTATAGAAAGTGGTATCATTAACTGCAATAGGAAAATTTCAGCAGTGGCACATTCTCCTGTCTTTTGGGAGAGGAGTGGTCAGTAGTGGTCATGAATGAGAGGTGGCAGAATGATGAGTAGAAATGATTAATTTTAACATCAAATGTAAGGAGGCTGGGGGACACCTCCAAAAGACATTGGTGCATAGATTTGAATTTAGGAGGTAGCATATGATTCGATTGAAACCTTGGGTTTGCTTTGAAGGCCACTAATACCTAAGGAGCAAGTAAAGAAAAAAAAAGACTCAAAGGGGGCTAGAAAGGCACAGCAACGAAAAATAGTCTTAGGAGTAGTTAGCAGTGTCAAATGAAGACACAGGGGCGAAATGAAGTGAAAACCAGACTAGTATTCTTATATCTGGCATTAACAAAGTCAGAAACTTAAGCAAGGACCATGTTATACTAGTATTGGCAAAAGTGCAGCTACGAAGCTGGCCGCAGCCACCTCAGCATGAGTTCAGTCCCCGGCCAGGGAGGTGACCAACATGGTGCAGCAGACCTCTTCTGTCTTGCCTGCTGCTCCCCTCACCAGTGTACTTTGTCAGTCTGCCTGTTCTGCTCCCCTCTCTGTCTCTGGTGAATCTTCTTACCACCCTTCCATCTCTGGCCTGTACCCCAGTTCTGTATGCATAAATAAATAAATCTTTCTAAAAAAATAAAAAAGAGTGGAGACTCTGTAACCCATTTGTACTTAAATCCTGCCTCCAACCCTTACTAGTAATGTGAGCTTGAATGGGTAGTTTAACTTCTTTACATATTAGTTTTCTTCCCTGCCAAATGGGGCAAATAATACAGATTTACAAGGATAGTATAAGTGATTTAAATGAGATCCCCTAGATTATGTTTAAAGGTGCTGTAGCTCACAAGAAATACTCATTCAATAAATGATCACTGTCTTTTCACTGACTGTGGACACAGAAGAATAAATTAGATCCACAGAAGTGAGGGAGATTTGTATTATTCGAATGTTATAAAGTGAAGAAAAGAGGGAAGTTAATAACTAGGTACATTGGATCAGGGAGGTTTTTTGTTTAGTTTTTAAGATAGAAGAGACTAGATTTTATATATATATCCTCAGCATGATTTCCCGGATATAGCTGTTGATAAATTTACAGAAGGGTTGGCACAAATTTTCATCTGGGTGTTTCCAAAATCATCCTTACCTGAGCCTTTACTAGTCTGGCCCTAGCTGAGGAGCCCCCCAATGCTCAGTTTGTAAGGGACATTAGAGAAAACTTAGCAAGTAATTTACTGGTGTTTAAAATTCTTTAAAAGAAAAGTAAGACAGTCTTAGAATAAATGGAAGTGGTATGATAGTTGGGAAATGAGGATTGTTTGGGTTTTTTTTGTTGTTTTTTTTTTTTGAGATGGGGATTTTTCGAGGAGCTGTCAAGACCATGGAGGAGGGGAGAAGGAGGGAAAGAGAAAAGAGGAGAGGGTTTGAGGAGGAGAGAGAGAGAGACATTAAGGCCTGATGAGTTGAAGAGGGAATTCAGAGATCAGTAAATTTAATAGTGAGCTTACTGAAAGGATAAGAAAAGTGATTCTTAGAGAATGGGATATGGCAGCTTAAGTTCAGAGCATTTCATGGTAATGGCAACTTTGAAAAAAGAGTTGTGGGAATGGGGAGCTAAAATAGAGTGGGGAGAATGTCTTTGATACATAGAGAGATCAAAGACTTCCTGGGCGATCTGAGGCAAGGGGTCACAGTGCTTGTGGAACATGGTGCTTGCAACAATGTGACTGGTGTGAGACATAAATATGGGGATTCCTAACAGAGTGCTGGGAGGTGGGGACCTTAAATACTGGATTTTAACAACATAGGCATGGAGAAGCTGGTAGTTTCTGATAGTGACTTCAAAAGCTCTCTTAGGAAAATTGTGCAATATAGGCTTCTAGGATGGGCTAGAAGGGGAAGAGAACATGTCTTTATATCTCATTTTCTGGCAGCAATCTTCCTGGGTTCCTTCCGCATGCCCTATCAAGAGATTAAGAATGTTATCCTGGAGGTGAATGAGGCTGTTCTGACTGAGTCCATGGTCCAGGTAAGGAGCGTGCTCATTCTACTGGAGCTGGCTCTGCACTGCTGCACACTAGCCTCATCTCTCCTCTGCTTATTAACTTAAAGAATGTTAGTGAATGAGTAAGTGTCCAGTTCTGGTGGTCAAGTTATTTCTGATGTAGTCTTCAGAATCCCCACCATTGACCAGCTGCCTCTCCTGCCCTGTAGCCCAGCCTGTTTCTTTCTTCATGGTTCTTGGGCAGAGTGAGTGACTGAGAGGAGAGCAAAAGCACTGTTTGGCTGCAGTTTTCAGCTCATCCCCTCAAACTGAGACAGCCCCTTTCTCTTTCAGAACCTCATTAAGCAGATGCCAGAGCCAGAGCAGTTAATAATGCTTTCAGAACTGAAGGACGAGTATGATGACCTGGCTGAGTCAGAGCAGTTTGGCGTGGTGGTGAGTGAGGCTCTTGCATTAGGCACTTCTCCAGCCCTCCTTCCTGCTCTCCCAGAGCAGTCCCTGCCATGTTCCTGCCCCCCCCCCCCCCCCCGCTTTCTCTTTGAGTCTGCCTTTATCTATCTCCTCCTTACTCTGGAAATCAGATCATCCCATAGGAGGCTCAGGCCTGTGTCTCTTTCCTGCTCTGTTGGCTGTAATGGAATGCTTGTCTTCTCCACCAGATGGGCACTGTTCCCTGCCTGCGGCCTCGTCTCAATGCCATCCTCTTCAAGCTGCAGTTCAATGAGCAGGTGGAGAATATCAAGCCAGAGATAGTTTCTGTGACTGCTGCATGTGAGGAGCTGAGAAAGAGCGATAGCTTCTCTAGTCTCCTGGAAATTACTCTGCTAGTCGGCAACTATATGAATGCTGGTTCTAGAAATGCTGGTGCTTTTGGCTTCAATATCAGCTTCCTCTGTAAGGTGAGCCTGGGAGAGAGCAGGGCATTAAAATGGAAAGCTGCTAGCTCTCTCGGGAGCTCAGTGTGACTAACTGCTGTTGTCCTGAGGTGGTCTTCGGCAGATAAGGACTAACCATTTCTCCTCTTCCTCCAAGCTTCGAGACACCAAGTCCACAGATCAGAAGATGACGTTGTTACACTTCTTGGCAGAATTGTGTGAGAATGAGTATCCAGATGTCCTCAAGTTCCCAGATGAGCTTGCCCATGTGGAGAAAGCCAGCCGAGGTGGGGCAGTTTGGGGTAAAGCTGGAATGTGTTCCAAGTCCCAAAGATCTCTGCTTGGCAGGAGGGAGGGAGGTGGAAAGAGACAAAAACACAGTATAGATTTGCAGGTCATTATCAGTTCAGACTGTTACAAGTAGAACAGGGGTAGGACTTGGGCGTGGCAGAAGAAAGGTCTCCCTGTATAGGAATGGGAAGCATGGGACACCAAAAAACAACTGCAAGAAAGTCAGATATTTTTAGACATTCAGAACGATTAACAAAATTTAGGCCTCACCAGTAGAAATGGGAACACATTTCTGCCCTGCCTTTATGTATCTATGTATGTCTCCTTCCTCCTAAGTCCAATTCTGTAAAGTAAATGAGACCAAGACCCCAGGGGATTTTGTTGAATCTTATTAAATTAAATGAAGCTTTCTCTTCCCTTCTTAGTAGGGAAGAGCTTATGGAGCCTGGAGAATCAGTCATCAAGTTATTTATAGTTGCTCTGGAAAGATGTGTGAAACAGTTAGAAAGTACATCAGGGAACTAAAATAATGAAGTACCAGATGGATGTCTAGAGCTGAACCCTGAAGGGCAGAAGGTCTGCATTTAATAAGCCCTTGCTGTTTGTTTTTGTAATTTTTTTAGTTTCTGCTGAAAACTTGCAGAAGAATCTAGATCAGATGAAGAAACATATTTCTGATGTGGAACGTGATATTCAGAAGTTCCCAGATGCCACAGATGAGAAAGACAAATTTGTTGAAAAAATGACTATATCCTTTCTTGAGAGGAGAGTTGCCCCTTAAAAAGGAAAGCAAGCTTCCTGTGGAGGAAACAAACCATGCAGATAAATTTAAAAATGCACTTGATCTCCTGCCCATTGCCCTGTCCTGTCTCTAGCCCCCCCCCCACACACACATAGAGACACAGACACATTTACACAAACACACCTACTCACCTTTTTCTGCCCTTCCCAAAAGTAACCACTGCCTCTAGACTTCTGACTTGCATCTCATGAATTTGTCTTTTAAAAATAGTAATATTGCTTCTTTTTGCACATAATAAGCTCATGGCAGTATATGCAGAATACCCCCTTTTTAATTGCCACTCCCTGCTCTCTTAAGTGCACTGTAGCTCATGGTTTACATTCCCCTATTTTGGATATTAAGATTGCTTCTGGCTTTTGCTGTTGTAAACAATGCTGTACTGAACAACCTTGTGCTTACCACCATGTGTCTGTGAGTGTTCTTTTGGGCTGAAGTCATGGTCTGCTTGTCTCTTCTGGTCCTTCACTCCTTGGCTGCACAGCTTTGTGAAGGATGCAGAGGAACAGTATGAGAAGCTCCAAATGATGCACTCTAACATGGAGACCCTTTATAAGGAGCTGGGCGAGTACTACCTCTTTGACCCCAAGAAAGTGTCTGTGGAAGAATTCTTCATGGACCTGCACAACTTTAAGAATATGTTTTTGGTGAGCAAGGGATACTTGCTGACTGAATCTTTTGTGATCCATTCTCACTTTGCACTGGGTTCATGTTGGTCAATGGTAGGTGTGCATATGTTTGTATGCATCCGTGCCCACATGCTAATTGTTGTCCCCACAGCAAGCAGTCAAGGAGAACCAGAAGCGACGGGAGACCGAGGAAAAGATGCGTAGAGCAAAACTTGCCAAGGAGAAGGCAGAGAAGGAGCGGCTGGAGAAGCAGCAGAAGAGGGAGCAGCTCATAGACATTAATGCAGGTAAGAAGTGAAGGGGAAGAGCTGATGGGCTAAGATGGCAACATCTGGAGGCTTCTCTGTCCGGAGTCTAGAGGCCAGAGAGAACAGCTCATGTCTAGTTCAACTCCTGGCAAATGATCATTGGCAGTCTGTGTCTCTGAGCACCTGAAGCTGGAGTTTAACCCCAGCCCGGTTACATGCACGATGCAGTCCTCCAAGCCCAAATCGTTCTCTCCTTTACTGGTTCCCGCATTATGTCTCATCTCCCTGGTGAATTCAGCATTGCTGTAATACATGCTCTTTCCTTCTGTTTGTCCAAAAGTTCCTCTGGCATATTGTCATATTCTCTGCTAAAACTTGTTTTTTTCCCCAGGACATTTTCCTTGCCATGCTCCCAGTTTTTCAAGGTGGTTTGCCCTCCCTTTCTACTTATTTTACTAAGGCTTTTCCCCAACACAGTTGGACACACCTATAAGGTTGTAAAAGGATTGAACTTCTAGAAAGAGGGCCTGAGGTGGCCACCCTCTTTCTTCAGCAGAATCTGTATTCCAATACCAGAAGCATGTCTTTGCTGAGACATATGGCCTCAATTACTGGTCCTCTGTTTCCTGTCTCTGCTGCTTTGCTGCTGCTGACTCCCTGCCCCCCTTTGGCTGCTCCTTACGTGGGCAGCGGAAATACAGCTTACACTGCTCGCAGCACTCAGCTGATGCCACCCTTCACAAACTTGAGGGGCTCTGAGCACTGAAAGGGTATTCAGTGAGTGTGGTGTCTAGCAAGAATCTGAGGGTTTTTTACTGTATGCAGGAGGCTGCCCTGATCCTTCTTGTTCCCAGGTACCTAAAGCAACAGGAACAGCCGACACTTCTATCTTCCTTTTATACTTTTCTGGGAAGCATATTCCCCACTCTTGTCACAGTTACATTTAAGCCACAAACTTTTAGTAATGCTGTTAGAGCCCACATCAGGTATCTTCCACCTTCATCTTTACTCTCCAGGCTGCTAGGGCTTGACCCCAGATACTGTGTAGGAGGCCCTAGGGATGTGTCCGGTAAGGGCTGTACTTACCCATCAGATGGCGCAGTGGACCTAGCTCTGGCTGGGGCCCCAGGGCAAGCAAATGAGGTCCAAATGTAGGTCAGCTGCACTGGTAATGTGCAACCAGCAGGTGGCACTGGGAGCAGCGAGCCCGGCTTTGTCTTTGGCAGCCAACCCACTCCTTGGGATTTCACAGTTCCAGATTTCACCACCCTGAGCTGTTGCCATGGAAACAGTCAGCCTGAAACAGAGATTCTACATTAACTCTTTGTTTTCCAGCCAGGATGCTTTTCTTAGATGCCAAGCTTGCTTCAGAAAGATGGGACCTCTGGAGACAGTATTTAAATAAAATACACTTTTTTTTAGATTTATTTATTTATGCATAAAGAAATGGGGTACAGACCAGAGGTGCATGTGGTGAGAGGATTCACCGGAGACAAGAGTGGGGAGCAGAACAGGCAGATCGAGGAAGTACACTGCTGAGGGGAGCAGTGGGCAAGATAGGAGAGATAGAGGTCTGTTGTACTTTAACCTCACCTGTGCCACCAAAGAGAGTCCTGAAATGCACTCTTGATCAGTGGTCTCTCATCTTCTCTCAGTTATGAAACTTGAACCAGATTCTCCAAAAGGCATTTATGTAAAGTGTAGTGAAAAACTTAGGATAAAAAGGAAATTATTTCTAGTTCCTTAATAATTTCAAAGGCTTAGTCTCTGTGCTTATCTTCATCTTGTTTAATTCTGCAATTCTGTGTGTTAATCTAAAGTGGAATGGGGAGGAGAACTTTGCAGGAAAATCTGCCGAGGTTTGAGTACACTGTAACCAATGAAACCTTTTGCTTAGTCATTTTTAAACAGATGTAAGTAAGCCTGAGCTGTCCTGCTCTGAGCGCTAACCCACTGTGGGCAAGACAACTAAGCATGTTGGAGGCATGTTGTGTGGGCTCAGCACAGGCATGCTGCTCAGGCTGAAGGGCGTACATCTCCATCTTTGTTCACGACAGAGGGCGATGAGACGGGCGTGATGGACAGTCTCCTGGAAGCTCTGCAGTCAGGTGCAGCATTCCGACGGAAGAGAGGACCTCGTCAGGGTAAGTAAGGAAACAGAACCGAGCCTAGGGTAAGGCTTCTGCTCCTGGTCTTGCTAGTCTTGGTCTGAAGAACAGGAAATGTAATCTAAATCTGATGATTTAGAAACTTCTCCACTGGTCCGGTTTTCATCCTCCCATGTTGGAAAGTAATGATTTGGAGCTTGAGGGACTTACAGCAGTGAGCTTACATTTGATTATTCTTGCATTTCTCTATTCTTTTTTTTTCTTTTTTCATTTTATTTATTTATTTTTTTATTACAAAAGTTTATTTTTACATCATTTTGTACATTTTTTTTTTTCCATCTCAATTGTAATCCCCACGGGTTTCCCATCACCAAGTCACCCATGTGCCATCACCAACATTGCTCTATTCTTGAAGCAGGAACCTGAAGTAAGCAAACCATGGTGCAGAACAAAGATTTCGGTGGGTGTTTGAGTATATGAAGAAAAGATGACCTCAACACAAAACTGTATGTTAAATACAGGAAATATAGAGAAAAAAGGTTAGAAGTCCTCATTTAACTTCACAAGTGGAAGAGCTAAAGAGAGGATAGTTGAATACATAAAGTCCTCTAAAGAAGGGGTTCAGTGTTGTTATTCCCAGCTGTTAGAATTGAAGTAGCATCTCCATGAAAGGAATTTGCTATGTCTGAGAACCTCTTCCGAGGGTACAGTCAGCCTCCACTGCCCTTGCCTGTCCCCAGGCACTCCCTTTTGATCTCTCCCAACCTTCAAAAGTTTGAAGAGGATTACAGTGACCTAGAGCTTCTAAGAATAATAATAGGGGCACGAGGACTAATAATCCAGGCACTGGTATAGGGCAAGATCAGCGGGTGGTAAGTTTCCTTTGAGGGAAGCATGCAGTGGCCAAGATACTAGTCAAAAAGGTGTCTAGCCAAGGCTAGCTCTCATGGGCGGTTGCCTGCACCTGTGTGTCTGGTAAAGGCCTTCTGGGGCTGGGAGTGATGGCTTCCTTAATGATGTGGGAATTACAGAAAAGGCACCAGTGAAGGCTTCTACTTCTGAGGAATTTAAAGCTATATTCCCTATTCCCTGGCCAGTTGCTGGGGAATTCTCTAGGCCTGTTTGATATGAACTTCACTTTAAGGTTATTGGACAGAGGGGTTATGGCTTCTTTTGACTAGTACACATTGGTTCCTGAAGGCCTGTAGTACCTGCCACAGCCTATAAATGGGATCTTAAGAACCAGGTAGCAAACGCTAGTCCCCATAAGCTCTGTGTCCCAACCCAAATACCTGAATTTGGCATTACTGAATTTTGTCTGTAATGTCCAGCTGCTTATTTCTTTTTAAGATTTATTTATACATACAGAACTGGGGTACAGTCCAGAGGTGCAGGGGAGTGACAGGATTCACTAGAGCAGAGTGGGGGACAGAACAGGCAGACTGACAAAGTACACCGCTGAGGGGAGCAGCGGGCGGGTCATGAGAGGTCTGCTGCTCCGTGTGGGTCACCTCCGGGGCTGGAGATTGAACTCACACTGGAGTAGCTGTGGCCAGCTTGCAGTACTGCACCCTAACCCTCTGAGCCACCAGGGAAGGCCCTCAGCTGCTTATTTCTAACCATCCTCTGAATACCTAAGGGGAAATTCCATTCTGTGGCCTCTTCTGTGTGACTTCATGAATCTTCCCTAAACAGAAGAATCCTTTCTGTTACAACTCTTACTCATCTTCTGGCACCCTATGAGTATAGGGCTCTCTTGAGAGGAAAAGAGGTAGATCTGTTGAGTATAGAACTTCCTGGGATAGAATGTTTAGCCTTATAAATCCATCTGTAGTAGAACACAGTGTTTCCTTTGTTTTCAAGGTTCTTGAAGCATTGTTTCCTACCCACCGTGTGATGTTAAGTGGCCTTAGGTTAAGCATTTCTAGCCAAACTCAAGTACAGTTGCATCTCAGTGTTTTCCTCTGCCTTCTCAGTTAAGTGTCAACCTGTATGAGACTTTTGGTGGGGAATTCCCTTTCAAGCTTCTTCCTGTGGAACTCTAGTAGACTCCCAGATGCTTCCTGTGCACAGCCAGATATGTCTGGCTTCTCTCTGCTGGGGAAGCCCCATTCTCCACTTCTTTACAAATGGGAAACCAGAAACTCCAGGCAAAGGAAGCGGGGGTTTTGGTGGAAACTAACCTTTTAGCAGAGGGCCTGAATTAGAGTACTGTTTCCCAGTGTAAAAAGGAATGGGAGACTTATTCTAGGATATCTTGAGGCCAAAAGAAGGTGAAAATGAGAACTATATACTTTTTAAGTTGATTCCATCCTATAGCCTTACCTTTCTAATCCCTGGGTTCATGAAATACATCTGAACAGATCTAGGAGACACATCTAGCTAGTCTGGTAAACTCTTTAGATGGTGCCTTCACAACATATAAAGCAATATGGTATTGTGTTAGATGTTAATAGGAGACAAAGCATCAAAAAAGACTGCAAAGAATATAGGACTGGGTTGGGAGCTAAAGAGCCAAAGTAAGTCTGACTTTGGTGCCATCTGTATAACCTTAGATAAGTCACTCAGTGTTCCTGGGACTCAGTTTCTTCATTAATAAAATGAGAGATGGATTAAAATGGTCTCTAAGGTCCTTTCCAGCTTTCATACAATAACTAAAGGATTAATTAAGAGAAGAAAGAGGAAGACCCCATTCTCAAATGATAAAGGCTCTGATGGCTGTGGGTTTTCCTTGGTGGCAACTGGCCTTAGCTGGTCCCTCTCTTGTTTCACTGTCTTTGACTGTTCCTCCTGGCCTAATTGCTTTGAGCCAGAAGAGAGAAGCACTATCAGACAGATATGCCTCACAGCTCTCCTCAGTGCCAGAGAGGCAGCTGTCTCTATTCAAAGACACTAGCCTTTTCCCTAGAATTTAAAGGAATGTTAAAAAAAAAAAAATCTTCCGGTCTCTGGAGACCTGACAGAGTGACCAGTAAACAAAGACCCATTGAAGAGTGGGAAGAGGAGAGTTACTATCAGGACTGGTTCATTCAGAGTGACATGTAAACTGCTGTGCTCTGCAGGGTGTGGGAGGACAATGGTTTGAGTGTCAAGGGGAAGAATCCATGTGATTGTATTCTAGCTACTATTTCAAGCTGAAGATTGAGTCAGCTTGTGGTTTTAATGACTCAACTCTATCTCCATGTCTGAATTGTGGCCTCTTATACACAGGGCATCTGCTCATTGGGGTAAGTCAAGGGAAGAAAGACATTCATCACCCTCTCCCTTTCTTTCCACTTCCCAGTTTCCCTCTAAACTCCACCTATAGCAATAGAACTTGGTTAAGAAAGATTCTAAAGCCCTATAATGATGAGCATCTAATTTTCTCATAGGTAAAACACATTAAGTTCCAGCTAAGATCTCATTCAGGTGTACAGAACCTGCTAATGTTAGAGCTAGAATTTATAGCCCCCTTCTGAGAATTCAAGTCCAGGCTGCTCCCATTAAACCTATGTGACTGGACAGGAGATGACAATGAGCCCTCTCTGTGTAGGCCAGAAACATTCTTGCATACCTTCCACCCAGGAACCCTGAACATGGTGAAATTGTTTCAGGGAAGTTTTGTGATGGCACCCTGTCTAGAGGAGGTTAAGAATATCTCCTATATCACCACTTATTCTCCCCCCACTTAATAAAAATAGGACAGGATTTCTAATTAAGAGGATTTTAGGCAATAATGAGTTCTTTAGAAGGGTAATGATCGCCCCATCTGTCCTAGTTTCCTCTTCCCTAAGGAAGCTTATTAACAAGAGTACTTCCTCTTTAGTTGTTGTTCCTAGTCTGTGGTTTATAAATGTCTTTTCCAAGTCATTAACCTTTTCTAATTCATATATACTGTCTTACGTGGTTGGTTTTGTTGGTGTTTTTATCCTAGCCCACCCTTAACTTCCAGGAATCTGGCCTCAGAGAGCTTTGACTAGTGTCTCGAGACTGCTCCCTTTTGCCCCTGGCTGTTGAGTTGTTCCTCTCTGAGTTAATACTCCCCCCCCCCCTTCTGTGTAGTCAAAATATGTATCTGTTTCTGTGTCTGCTTTTCAGAAGTCTAAACAAGTACCCGAGTTATGGAAAGGCGGGGGAAGGTCAGTTTTCTGGATTGTTTATGCTTCTCAGTGTCACTGTAATCCCGATGGAAGGGAAATCGAGGGTTCCGCCATTCTGTGGATTCTGCTGCCAGTTCCCACTAGGACTTTCTTACCTGTTTCTGCCCTGAGGCCATGTCGTGCCCATCTCTCATGTACCTGTTTTCTAGACTTAAAGGGAAAGTTTTGATCTTCACCCCACCTACCATCCACTCCTAGTTTTTGTGGAATCTTTAATGCCTCCGAAGCTCTTTCGAATCTAGAAAAAATGTAGAAATGCAGCTTGAATTATATATGCCTGGTATCTTCTTAATTTGGAGGAAGAAACCAAGAGAAGAAGTCTTGCTTGGACTGTGAGTTCTTCCTTCTCCCATGTTATGTTATCCAGAATAAGTGTCCCTGAACATCCAGTGTTCTTTTCCCTGGGGTTTGAGCTGTTTCATCATATACTTAACTCCGCAAGTGAGTCTCTCTCACACACACTCACTGCAACTCACAGTTGTAGTATTTTCTAACTGCTGGAGGCTGAATTCTAAGGAGCTGTAAAGTGATACCAAGCCACTGCCTTTCTGGACATGAAAAGTAGGATCCTAGATGAAAGAGTATATCAGAAAATAGCAGAAACTGTGCTGAGGACGTTTTGCACCACTATCTAATTCCAGAACATTTTGCTCCTTTGCTGGAAAGATGAGAAAGGAAGGGAGGGAAGTATCTATAAAAAAGACCATCCTAGTCCTCCTCCAGTGAGTACCTTTTCTTCCCCTCAGTCACGGAGGCAGCATGTGTTCATGGTCCAGGGAGCAGAGTGTGTGACCATCCAGCCTGATAATCAGATGAGCCCTGTGCTATTAGTCCGGGCCTTCACTCTTGTCTTTCCTTTTGTCAGATAATCCCTTGTGCCCCTGGGAGGAGGAGGAGGAGGTAGCGACCTGTAACTTGGTAACCTGTGGGCATGCTGGTGCTCCCTGCTGACCCGTGGGGCCTCTGCTGTGTGAACAGGTGGCTCTGGGTCATGTTTCTACAGACTGACAGCCTTGGCGAAGGCCTGAGCCCTCTGCCCCCAGTTGGCTTCTGCCTTACCTAAAGCTTTTTGCTGATCTGAAGAAGGCAGAGTTGCTCTGGGTGCTTTATTCACTGGCTTCTCTGGATCTGTTCTTCCTGCTCCTGCAGTTTTCTTCTGCAGTGCTAGGCTTCTGTTCCTGCTTCTTTAACACTCAGGCACAGCTTTCCCCACACAGCATTCTTTTGTCCCCAGCAGGATCATTTTTCTTTTAATTGAGATATGATTCACACACAAGTATTCAATTCAGTGTTTTCTAGTATACTCACGAGATTGTGCATACATCACCACTATCTAATTCCAGAACATTTGCATTACCCCATCCATACCCATTAGCGGTCAACCCCCCAGTCCTCCCCTCCCTTCCCCTGGCAACCATGGATCCACTCTCTGTCTGTGTACTTGCCCATTCTAGACATTTTGTAGAACTTGAACTACAGCGTATGTGGGCTCTATGTCTGACTTGTCCTACTCTGCAGCAAGCAGCACTCTCTGTCCAGGCAGTCCCTGCAGGCTGCCTCCAGGCCTGTGAGAAGGCAGACAGCAAGGAGCCGCCTTCTTAACGGATACTGAGGCTCCAAATCTGAATTCCATAAATAAGTATGAGCACCTTGAGGATAAGCTCCTAGTAGTTAGGACAGAAACTCAGGGTTGATTGGGTCTTTCTTACTTAAGATGACACCTGGAGTGTCACGATCCCTGAGTCTCCTGGGCTGAGATTTCTTTGTAGAGGCCCCTCGTGGCTCCACTGACCCTAGCTCAGCTTTCCCTGACACACCTTTTATACACCAGGCACACACCTGAACGCTATGTAGGGCCCTTAGCATTTGTATCACTGTCCTACTCAGGTGAGGTAGGAAAGCGCTAGGCATGTGGGCATCTGGGAGAAGGGTGGAGGGCTGTCAGGCACGTGACATGCATGTGTGACATGCATGTAATGGCAGTGTGTGGCTGCTGCTCTTTGCAAGGATCATTGTAGCAGCTGCTGAAGGCCTTCTGCTTGGGACAGGCCTCCGCAGGGCTGACTGAGCATGTTTTAGGAGCTCCCATGGAATTGCCGAGGAAAAAACCACCATTTACCAATCTGGAGCCTATTTAATTCCAACAGTACTTATGATGAGAAAAGAGATTGAGAGTATTTTATCTCTTTAAGTTACATAGCACTTGAACCAAGTTCTATCCAGCTATATGTAATCTTTGTATACTTTCCTACCTGCACCATACTCTTCTGTTCTCTGCCCTTCTCCCCCAAAAGTTAATTCAGCATGTTCTTGGACTCTGCCCCCACTTCTTCAAAATAACATGGACCCTGTGAACCAGACAGGATGGCCACATGGGCATGACTTCAGGCCGACTGTCTGCGAGAGTTCAGAAAGAAGAAAATTGAACCTTCTGTGGACTATATCTTTTGTGTCTTCTCTTGCAGCCAACAGAAAGGCCGGGTGTGCAGTCACATCTCTGCTAGCCTCAGAGCTGACCAAGGATGATGCCATGACTTCTGTTCCTGCTAAGATGAAGAAGAGCAGTGAGGGAATCCCCACGATCCTTGAGGAAACCAAGGAGTTGGTTGGCCGTGCAAGCTAATCTGCGTCCTGAGGCCACGGCAGCTTCTATGCAGCACCAGGCTGTCCTTCCCTGCAGCATGAGCCTAACGGGTGATGGAGATGTGTCTCTGGGGTGGCCACTCCCAACACCCCAACCCAGTCTTGCTCTCTGGCCTGCTACTCTTTGTACATCATACACAGCTTCAGCTGCCTAGAGGCCAGGAGGGAAGAGCGGTGTGGGCTAGGCCTGAGTCCACCCAGCCAGCCCTGGCTGCTGTAGTACCAAAGCAGGCTCTGTGATTGCTGCCTTAACCCCCAGTGTCTCCTCTGTTACTCTGAGGCCTTGTCTCAAACAAAGCCTCAACGGCTTTCTCAGCCCCAGCTTTGAAGTGGGCTTGCCCCTAGGTCAATCAATCTGTCTAGGTTTGTGCTTTTTTTTTTTTTTGTAATTTCTCTGGCCCTGAGAACAGCATGGGGCTGGCAAACCTTTGGGGTATCTCCCTCCTTTCATTGCTGTCACCTCTGCTCTGCTCTTCCCACTCCTGGCTGTTATTTATTACTAGTGATGTGGCATTGGGAGCTCCCTTTAAGGAAGGGGGCAGTAGATCTCACCACACCTTTCTGGGACAGGCCTCACAAAACAAAAAGTACCTGGACACTTACTGATGCCGCAGGGGCCTAGTCAGAGCACATGGGCAGGCAGGCAGTCAGGCAGGGCATAGAGACATTGTGGGACCTGCCCTCAGCCTGCTGCCATGCTTTATGCCCTCGCCTCCCTGGACCTTCTCACCAGCGCCCAGGCTATCCTAGACACCATCCCCTCCCCAGAGCTTTGGTGCATCTCATCTGGAGTATGGGCTGTATTATAACATCCCAACCTCACCCTCTTGTCTCCAAGGAAATGGGAGGTGGAGCCTCCTGGCTGAGAAATTGTTTTGCAAATGGATCTATTTTTGTATAAGTTTTTTTTTTTTTTTTTTTTAAGAAAAATTATTCTTCTCCCTTTCCCCTTCATAATGTAAGAGGCTTTGTTGGTAGGTTCCAGAGTCACTGGGGTTTTTCCCCACAGGCCTCAATGCTGAACAAGTCCCTGGACCTCCACCTCAGGCCGCAAGCCTTCTGGACCCTGAGTTCAATGCAGATTCAGCATCCAGCTCTGGTTGACCTATACCAGGCCTAAGAGTAGTGGGAGCTCTGAGACCACAGAGTTTTTATAAATTAATATATTTATCAAGCCAAATGTGCAGATGCTAACTGGACACTTGGGGAAGTATCTACACACACTGGCCCCTGCTCCCTTCTGAACAGTGGGTGGCCAAACTGTTCATTGACTCCAGCCATCACAGGAAGCTCATCTTCTCTGGCTCAAGGTGACATTCATGCCTTCCTTGTGCTGCTTTCCAGTTCCCATTACCTGTAGGTAGGGAGAGAGAATGGCACTGTTGAGACTGGATCCAGAATTATATTTGTTAGAGCTTGAGGGAGTTTAGGATGCCTGCAGGGATGCCTTGAGGCTAGGAAGGAGGGTCTGGTTGCTAGAGCTGAGTGTGCAGAAGCAACACTGCTCCTTTGAGCTATTTCTGGGAAGACTGTGGTAGAGGGGCTGCTGACCCCCTAGGTCCCCTCCTCCTCCTCCTCCTCCTTGCTGACATATGGGATTCAATCCTTTCTTTTTTAATCTACTTTTGCTAAAATGCATTTAATAATAAAAAAAAAAAAAGGACAAAATGCAAACAGCATCTCCCTTGCCTCTCAGGCTTCTGGGATGTCATCACCTCCAGTTTGTCGGGTTTGTTTCCAACTGTAATAAAGCATTCAGACAGTACTGCCTCAGTCTCCTGTGTGAATTTCTGAGCGGCTTTCACTGTAGTTTAGGTTCCTCCACTGTTGTCCTGCCTCTTGCTGGCTGACCAAACAAATTGTTGTCAAAAATGTTGTGCTGGGTATGTGGTGGGCACTGTATTGGGGCACAGGACCAGAGAGGATGAGCACATGGTGGCTGTTACCTGACCCCCAGCCCCCCCTACTCAAAGGAGTAAGGGTCCCAGTTTAGCTCCCCTCACCTACATTGCTGCCTCCTGGCTTGGATCCCCCACACACACTTTTTTTAACTCCATTCCCCAGGGACATAGATGTCATGCCTTCTAACAGTACATATCCCTCTTTGGCTGAGGGAAGCTCCTGACTTCCAGTCTTCCACCCTCTTTCGCCACATTGGTGGCCACAGCACATTCCAGACCTTAGGGGCTTACTACACTGGGGTCCAAGCCTAAGCCTCCCCAGCAGAGGTCAGAAGTCAGATGATATGCTGCCCAGAGTCCTACTTGTTTGAACACGTTGTGACCTGGACAAATAAACTTTATAAGCTGTGAGCAAGCCCAGAATAGATAGGGAGGGGCCTGGGGAGGACCACAAACTCGGTGAGGCCGCTACAGAGTCCTGGGTCTGGGGCAGCTGCCGCCCCAATATGGCCTGAGATCGGGGTGAACTGCCGGCCTCTTCTCATCCCCCCCCCCCAGAGGCACGCGATTCTGGCTCAGAGCTTTATAGACACATACCAATTAAAGAACCCAGCCGCAGCTGCTCTCGAGCGCTGCCAGCCTACTGCCGTGCCTGGAATAGAACCCAGGCGCCGGGCACCCCGCCCTCAGCAGCCCTGCTTTCCAAAAATCCCTTCTCCGTCGCAGTAACCGCGCACACCACCCTTCCACGCAAGAAAGTCACCCCCAGATGCTTGGTTGGAAGACTTGTTTCTATGGCAACAGCCGGAGGAGCTGGCAGAACACGTGACCGGGCTTAGAGACTGCAGAGGAAGCTAAGAACCGGCATCCTCCTATCATGTAGGGCAGACCCTGCTGGTAACCCCAGTGCGTCTGCCCTTCTGTCCCTCAGCGTCTTCTCTCCGCTTAGTTTCCCGTAGTTTCACAGGCTTCAACGACCTCAGAATCCCATCGCTTTGAAGAGGAAGCGGGGAGATGGGCCAGTCGAGCGAAAGGAAAAACAGAGGGAGGGAGAAGAAGCAAAAAGGGCGAGCTGGGTCTGTGGGCAATTTTTTCCCGCTGGACATTTCAGTCCCTTGACCCCAGCAAGCCCGCAATGAGTCCAATTTCCTTGGTCTTGCCATTGAGAGGAATGCGGTGAGGTAAATTCCAGATGGGGAAACAAGCTATAAAATGGGCCTCCGCCCTCGCTCCCACTTCCGCCGTGTTCCACAGCCTCCGAGGCGGCGGGGTTGGAGGGGGCGGGTAAAGGCGATCCCACCCTCCCCTCGCGAAGCCCGCCGGGGCGCCAGAGGGTGGTAATTCTGGCTGGGAGGGGGCGGGAACGAAGGAAACGTGTTCCGCCCCCTTCTCCGGCTCTGTTAGCCGGGCGCCAACCGGCTCCCGCCGCTCTCGCCCAAGCGCGGGAGTCTCTTCTGCCTGGAGACTCCTTTTCTGCCTGGAGACTGCAGCTTAACACCGTGGCGGAGACGGGTTCGAGCATTCGGCGGCACACAGCTGCGCGCGTGCCGCGCTCAGCCCTCCCCTCCCCCAGCGGGGCCGCCGGCCGATTCCACGCGGCGCCCACAGATCCACAAGCACGACCACAGCCGCACACCGTTGCACAGGCACATCGGTGTTGCACGCGACACCTGACAGCCGCGCACCTTCGCTGCAATGACACAAAGCCCAGAAGCAAAAGCAAAAGCCACCCCCCTTCCCCCCCCAATTCTCGCTTTCCAATTTACACCTCTCCACCCACGGTCACACCGGCCCGGAGCCTCAATCTCTTACACAGAAACGTCCAGCCTTTCAGAAGAAACCTTTTTATTAATTTTTTTTCAAAGAAAAAAAAGCCATATAAATATTAGAGTATAAAACTTGCGTGAGACACAGGAAGGGGGTGGGGTGGGGGAACTACGTGACTATGCGAAGAGAAGCGCTTATAGGAGTCAGTACTGGGGAGGGGGTCGCCGCAGCGCGTGGACACAGCACAAAACACAGCACGGGCTGCCGCAGGCAGACTCAAGGACAGACGGCTGCGCGGAGCCCGCCGCCCGCTGCCCACTCGCCATCACGGAAAAGCACACCGCACTACACTATTGGCTATTCTATACCAGCCGAAAGAGGGAGGGGGCTCTAACTATTTTAAGGGCTGGGGATGGGGTTCTCCCGCAGCCCCGCTGACTGAACGGGGCTTGGGGCCAGAGAGGGGAGGGGGCTGAGGAAGGTCTATGCACAAGGAGGCACTGGGGGACTTTAACCAGGCTCTGGCCACTAGGGGGCGGACTGGGGGCCTGGGCAGTGGCCTTCACGGAGAAGAAATGGCACCTGGCAAGGTGAAGGACAGGGTCTTGAGGTGCTAGGGACCTTGTGGAGAAGCCCAGGTCCTGGGCTTCCTGCTCTACCCACTACCTCCCAGACCCAAGGACCAAGAATGGCCTACCTGGGCCTGGCTTCCTATTGGGGCCATACTGATCTTTCCACCTCTGGATACCCAGCACCCACAGAGGCCCCTCTGACCTCTCAGGGGGACCTGGTCCCAAACCTGCTCAAAGCTTCCTTGGACTGCACTGCCAGTTTAAACCCACTGTTGCTGGTAGCTCACCAAAAACTGACAGCCCCCGTTCACGAAAGATGAGGGTCCAGCCTGGTGCGTGGTTTGGGGCTAGAATATGGGGATCTGGTCAGTACCCTGGGGGCATAGAGAACTTCCTGCAAGACCCCCCTTTAACTGATGGGTCAGGTTTTGTCCATTCCCCCCCATCCACACACACACACACACCCTTCCCTTCTTTATCCTACTATCCCATACTGTCTTGGAACATGCAATGGAGTTTTTTGTTTAGGGAAGGGGAGATCACAGCATGCAGTGGGAACATCAAACAATGAAACAGAACAAAACAAAAGACTGGTCCCCAGGATGTTGGGAAGAGGCATGATAGCCAAATGCCCTCCCTAAATCCAGCAAGCATCGGTACCATGGGGATGGTGACCACATCTCCCAAAACTTGACCTTGGCCACAGGAGGTGAAGGAACTGGCACCATGTTTTGGGACAAGTTTGAAGGTTGAAGGGGAGGCCCAGAGGTGATGGTGCCCTTCCAACTCTTCAGAACTGTGAGCTTTAAAGGGTCACCTGGTACCTCAACACACCAACCACCTTCCTCAAGAAAAAGGAGCTGTAGAAGGAGTAGGGTGGAGTGTTATGGGTAGCAGGAGGTGGGGGATAGATGGGCCTGATTGAATTTGGAAGATGAGTTCAGCTGTAACTAAAGGGGGTGTGATGAATGGTTTGGTGTCTACACTATCCCCACTACCCCCATGGGCACAGCAACTGATTGGATGGGGGTTCCCAGCAGAACTCCCTTTGCATATTCAATCCCTTGGGGGCAGAGAGGGGGGTGTTGACTGGGCACTTATTTCTGTTTCCCAAGGGGAGAATGACCTTGGCCCCTACCAGTCTCCTGGGGGCAAGGCCTGAAAATCTGAGGCCTGGGTACAGGTAGGGAGAGGCTGGGCTGGCTGGGGTGGGAGGCTGCCCTTTGGCTCCAGGTCTGGCCTCCGGGTTACTTCTTCTCCTTCTTGCCCGACTTCTTCTTGTTGCCATTGCCACCTGCCGGGGCCTTCCCATCCCGCTTGCCAGCTGCGTTGGTCAGTGTGGCATTGCTGCCCGGGATGTAGACATTCTGGCGGTAGTCGGGCACATGTTGCAGGGTGAACTGGGGCCCGTAGCGGGCACTCAGGCCCATGGTGCCGGCGCCCCCTCCCAGGGTGGAGCTCCCATCAGCAGCTTCTGCAGAGACAGAAAGATCAAGGGCTACACTCAGGGTCCCCAACAGTCACTCCCTTGTCTGCCTGCAAAGCTTCCAGACCACAATGAGCACTAAGAGGAGTCTCCTTATTGCACCGGAAGATAGAGGCAAGAGGCTCTGGAGTGAGAGAGCCTAGGTAGGTCTGACTCCCAGTTCTTTTACCTACTGTGGTCCTGAGCTAATCTATCCAAACTCCCTATGTCCCCTCTCTTTTCTTTGACCTGCAAAATGGGAACAGGTGGGTAGATAGAAGGCAAAATAAGACCATGATGTGATACACTTTAGAATATGCCTGGTACTTGCTAAGGATTTAAAACATGCTAGCTGTTGTTTTTCATAGGGCTGAGCCTCTGTGGTCCACTCTGGCCCATTCTTCTCCAGGGCTGTAACTGGGTTCAGTTTGGATCAGTCTCCATCCTAGCACAGAGTAGGTTTTTCAAACATGATAGCCAAATGCCCTCCCTAAATCCAGCAAGCATTGGTACCATGGGGATGGTGATCACATCTCCCAAACCTTGACCTTGGACACAGGAGGTGAAGGAACTGGCACCATGTTATTAGTTAGGAGGGAGTGCTCTCCCGACTGGTTTTTGTTGAGTACCTACTCTGTGCCAAGCGCTGTTGCACCTGGTGAGTCTTTAAATTCCCCACCACAACCCAGAGAAGTAAGTGAGATTATCTTTCTTTTACAGAGGAGGGAAACAAGGCTCAGAGAAGATAAAAGACTGGTCCTACTAGCCAGTACAAGTTAGAAGGAGTCAGGCCTGAGTGTGCAAGAGGAGGTCTAACACCATTGCTACTCTGGGGAGGGGGGGTTGGGAGAGGAAATAGGATGAGCTGCTTGCTTTGAGGCTGAGAAGACAACGATGCAGACTCAGCTATCTGAGGCACCCTGTGCACACAGGCACAGCGGGTGGGGGTAGGTGGCATCGCATGTGGCACCTCCAGCCCAGCTGCCTGCTGCACGCAAGAAGAAACGGGTTACAGTTCGGTACACATCCTGGCCCTCTCTGGGCATCTCCTGGGAGTTTGTTACACAGACTTGGAATCTGCATGTTGGTGTTTACCAGATGACCTGCATACATATAGCAAAGGCAGAGAAGCACTGGAATGCTTCCTCAACTGGAATTTCTAAGGAGGAAATAAGATAGTGCTCTGGGTAAGGTAGTCCAGGCACTAGCAAGGTGAATGCTCATTAGTTAGTTGCCATCAATTGTTAATCATCATCATCACTGCACAATGAGACATGTATCTCACATGCTCCTTGACAGGGGGATTGGGTGGGAGGAATCAGCAGTTTGGAGTCCTCTGGCAAGGGCAGGGTTAAAACATCAGGACCGCCCAGTCCAGCAAAAGAGCTTTCCTCTACCCCTCCTCTCCCCGCCCCCGCCCCCCCCCCCAACTCTGGTCGTGAGTAAAGCCGGAGAGGTTGAGTAATCCTGGGACACCAACAGGGGATTGAGAAATGGAGACAGGAAATATTTTCAAAGAACGACACCAGGGTTGGGAGGGAGGGGCGTATGGAAAGGGAGCGGGAGATGAGCCTGGGTCTTTCCGCCTCCTCACCCAAGTGCTCAGGTTTCTACAGCTTTCCAGTTCCAAGTCCCTGGATCCGGGGGCCTACAGGGGGTGGGGATAAGGGGCTGGGTGGGAGGGAGCAGCTGCCCACTTCCTTCTCTCCTTCTCCCTCGTCCCCTCCCCCATCCCTCCTTCCACTGACAGTTCTGTTTTCCCTAATTAACTCCAGAGGCCCAGGCCCTCTCCTGCCCGCCCCCCTCCCCTCCTCTAGCCTGGGAAGGGGAGGGCTGGGGGAAGGGACCCAGATCAGGCTTCAAAGACTCTGGATTCCACAGTGATTTAGGGACTAGAGGAAAGAACTAGGAGGCACCAAGGACAGGGGGAGGGTGCACAAAAGAAAAAAGGGAGGAAATGGGGAGAGACAGGGATCAGTAAGAAGGAAGAAAAAGAAAGATAAGAGGGGTGTGACTGGGTAAGTAGAAGCCAGGCTCACCCTCCCACTTCCTACATGCACCCCAGATCTCAAAGCACCCAAGTATATGAAAATGGTAAGGCCAGCCCCTGTCACCTCCTTCCCAGAACACAGACTACTGTGTTCTGGGGTGCAGTGAAGCTGGCTAGACCAGAAGGGAAGATGGAAATCCAGAGTGTAACAGAAAGCGGCTGGCACTGAGGTCCACCTGGTCATCTCTGCCACAGAGGAGCTCTGTGACCTAGGCCTAGGCTTTTTTTGCAAGACTCAGATCTCAGTTTCCCAGCTACAAATCCGATGAAGAAGAGTAGAACTCTTATCTAGGCTCTGACCCTTTACAGAATCAGTTCTCTTAACGTCCATCTACCCCCACAAGACCCTGGTGCACAGAGGCCAGGATCCTCCCTTAATCAAAGGAGAAACAGAATCTGAAGAGCAGCAAGGAGGGCATTCTTTGCTGGGCATCCTCTGGCCTAGAGAAAGTGGGAGCAGTGCTGCCTTTCTCTCCCCGGCCAGCTTCTCCTCTGGAGACTCAGCTCCCAGCCAGGTAACTACTTTATCCTCATCCTCCCTCCCACCCAGACCAGGGGGATGCAGCCTCTCCAGAGCAGCCTGGGAAGGCCTCTAAGGCCAGAGGACAGTCAGTGAAGTGCAAACTGCAACCTCGAAGACTGCTCACCACAGTGCACCTCCAACCACTTATTTTAAAAGCCTCTAACTCCTAAACTCCACTGCCGCTCCACCGGCCTGGCTGGGCTAGACTCCAGGAGCCTCTCTGGCTCCAGAGCAGGAATCGGGTGTGAAAGTGTGAGTAGGGCCTGACCCTGCCATCTCCACCCTCAAAGGCCATTCCCCAAGGCCCAGCTTGCACTGGGGTCAGGCCCAGTGTAGGCTGGAGGGGTGGAGCCCTAACCGAGGAGCCAGCCTGCCTGGCCCATTGGGACCATCTGGGAAGGTCTGGGGCCATAAATACTGATTTCATTTGTTTTTAAAATCTTTTTTAGGCTAAAAAGCCAGCTTCCTGGCCTGAGGGTTCAAGACCACAACTGCTAAATATACCTGTCTGTTTGCTTTCCTCAAGAGCTCAGCTGGCCAGCTGCCTGCCTCTTTCATATTCAGTCTCTGGCCCTCACTAGAATTAGAGCCTCACCAAATGGGTGGGCTCTGTCCCAGAGACTGACCACCCTGCCACTTCTTCCTTCCTCTGCCTCACCAACCACAGCCTGTCTCTGCTCAGCCTCACCAACATCTGGGGGAGGGGTGCCAGGCAGCAAAAAATGCCTGGTGCCAGTTCTTGAATTCCAGGTAGACAACAATCTTTTGGTATAGTATTGGGACCTATTTATGTTAAAATATTATTTGTTGTTTACTGAAGTTCAAATTTAACTGGACTTTATCTGACAGCCCTATTCTGGGAGAATAATGCAGGGTGTTGACAGGAGTTCACTCTGTCATTCAGCAAAGGCTGGATGGAAAGGCAGCTCACTCTGGGTTAGAATTACTAATTTGCAGTTTAGAAATGGGGGCCCTTGGAGCAAGTGATTTCTCAGTTCTCTCAGATGTAAAACGTATGTAATCAGACCTGCCTTGCAGTTAGAGGATTAACTGCTGTGAGGCCCATAAAATTTGTCTAGCATGTGCTGGGGCCATACACAGGGGTGATTATAGTGATTATTGTTCTGATTTTACCTCATTCTTTACCCACCAGATCTCCAGATGTGCTGGAGGGCAGGGCCCTCTGCTCAGCACCTCTCTCCTCTGCCGGCCTCCACATAAGCCCAGCATTGCTGCTCTAGAGGCTAGCTCTTATCAACAGACATTAGTCTAATCCTGCCTTCCATCTACCCCTCTGGGTCAATAAAGACAACAGTTAATCAGTTTAGCGGCTATACCACTACTTTCTGCCACTCCTGAGGCCTTACATTTGACCCCCACATCACCACAAGGAGATGGGCTGTTGTACTGTTTCATAGTAAGTCAAACCGAGGTCCCGAGGGGCTCATACCTGTGGTGATGCCAGGATTTGAATTTAGGCTGGCCTGCCTCTAAAGTCTCTGCGGACGATGCTGTTCTGCTTCTGTGCTAGGGACCCATGATTCTTCAGCAACAAAAGCCATGGGATGAATCTCTGATGCATGTGAAGTTCTTTGCTAGCCTTGTTAGAACCCTGCTTTGCAGGTGGCGGCAACAAAAAAGAGAAAGGGTCTCACATCTGCAGCGTGTGTTCTCTCTGCTGGGGGCAGCCGCACCTGCTCCATGGATTAAGGTTTGTATGTACCAGGTCCAGTACTTCAGCTTCCGGCTATGTAAGCCTTACCACGACCCTTTGCAGTCTCTGTGTTCATTTTCTTGGCTGAGTACAGTGAGGCTTACAGAGATCAAGTAAATTGATCAAAATCACAATGACAGTGACCCAGCTAGGGCCAGACTGATGCTGTCACTTTCCAGGGCTAGACTCTTAACCACTACTCCCTATGTCTCCTCCATGGGTCTTTCCTTGTTCACCCTAATCCCCCCACTGTTCCTTAGCCTGCTTTTAGGTCCTGGAACTCTGTGTCCTCTCAGAGCAACTGAACGATCCAGAGAAACCATGCAGAGTGGCAACCAGGCTCAAGGCATGGTAGACTTGGAATTCCCCCAGAACCCCCGGTCTCCGATCCCAAACCACACACTGGCACAACTTACCGCTGGCGGAGGCCAAGATCATGGCTTGCAGCATCTCTGTGTCAAACTGGTTGTTGGGCCAAGTTCCGGTTTCATCGCCATTTTGGGAGCTAGGGAGAGAGTGGGGTAGTGAGCATGGTCTCCCAGGCCCATGTAGCTCATGCCTCCCTGTCCTCTCCTAGGGCCCCAGGTCTAGTACCCCACACCCATGACCAGCTCCCTTTCAGCAAGCAGAAAGTGGTTTATGATCCTTCAGAAGCCAGACCACTACTTGTCAGCCCACAGACCAGCTTTGTGTCAGACTCCAGGGCCCTTAGGGCACCAGAGAGGGCCTACACTGTAGCTCCCCTGACTCAGTCATGAGGCAGCTCAGATCCTCTCCTGACAACAGTGAGGGTGAGAAATGGGAGAGAATGTGCCAGAACTAGAGAAAACTTAGGGTCCCAGGGCAGGGGAAGAGAAATTCCTGAAACGCAAATTTGATGACTTTGACTGCTTGTTAATCCCTGAGGACAAAATCCGTGACACAGAAGAACCTGCCCATCTATTTTACAAGACCATCCTCCTGCCCTACTCCCAAATATTCTATCATTCAACCTATTCTAAGCAGATACTGTCTGTTTAGAAGGCTGGTTTCCAACCTTTAACAGGAATGAAATTTGTCAGAGGGAACTCTGAACCCATGCAGGCTGGGTCAATACCTCTGCGATGAGCCCATCCCCACTGGCCGTTCCCTCTGGCAGCTCTGAGTCCCCTGCTTTAGTGCCTTGTGCTTCGCCACCAGACCACAATGTGCCGCTGGCCTGTGCCTGCCATCTTTCTACTAAAGCTCCTTCTTAAGACTTTTCCACTCTCAAAGCATTGAGAAAAACATGAAGTGATTCATAATCTAAAAAAAAAAAAAAATGCTTCCCTGTAAAAGAAACCTAATGCATTACAATTCAACTTGGATGTCTGCCATCGTGACTATTTTCATGCTTTGTATTGAATTTTCAAGGATCAAATGATTTCCCTTTTTGAGGGGTGGCAAAGCATGCTGACACACAGTCTATTAGGTGAAAGTTGCATGCTGACGTTTCTCAATAAGTATTTACCCTTGAATGAAGGGGGGAAGGCCTGCAGAGTTAGATCACCCCGAGTAAGAAGGATTTAGCACCAGGGCAAACTGTGGGGCAAGTCCTGAAGGCCTGAAAAAGGGTGTGTGTGTGTGTTGTCACGGTGGGAGAACACAACCAAGAATTGCTGTACAGTGGCTCCTACTCTGGTCTCCTGGACGTGGGATTCCCCACCCAGGGAAGGTGGGCTCTGTCCAAGGCTCAGATGAGAGCACATGGCTGCCTTCACGCCTTCTGTGCCATCACAGCAAATGTAGAGTTAGGGTTGGAGGTTAAAGTGGGACTCTCACTTCTCCCTCCCAGAGTGGGAAGAGGTAGAGTCCCGTGTCCCTTTATTCACCAAATATTTATTGAGTGATTATTCACCAGATTAGGTGCTGGGGTTGGAGCTGTGAGATGATTGAAACAGTCCATCTTTATGATGCCTGAGGTCTACTCTGAGAGGCTGAGAGTAAATAATTACACAGTTATGTCATTGTAATTGTGACAAGTGCGATGGAGGTAAAAGCAGAGGGCACAGGGGAGTCCTGACCTACTCTGGGTTTAGGAGCTCAGTCAGCATAGGCCCACTGAGGCAAAGGCAGGGAAGTTACCCAGGTGACTGGCAGGAGAATACCAACTAAACAAATGGGGAAGGAATGATAGAAAATCACCACTTTGTAATCACTGATGTGAAAACAGCTTCAGGCAAGGATCAGGGAAGAGTCAAATACTAAGACAACGTGAGAGGTAGCTGCACCGTCTCAAACATTACCCAACAGGTAGGTATTGGTCGCAAATATTTAAGAATATTTTTCTAATGGAAAGTTATGGGGACTTTAACAAACCACTTTAACTAAATGAATAAACTGATCATCAGTGATAATGGGACAAACGGACATGAAGTCACTCCTGATGTGGGGGGTGAGGAGGGCACCCCTGTCACCCAGGCAGTAGTCTTACATTTAAAAAGATAACTGGCCTAGGTTCTTTAAAAATAAATGTCAACATGATAAGGAAACAACCTTCCACCCTACCCCACTCCCCAAAATAAAAAGGTTGTTCTAGATTAAAGGAAATGAAAGAGACAAGGCAAGTCCTTGCCATTTATGCCTCCTTGATACAATCCTGGATTCAAAACAAAAGGTTAAAAGGACATTTATGAAAATCTGCCAGTGGGCTGTATATTAACACATTCATGTTAAAGTCTTCAAATGTGATCCTTCTTTGAGGTTCTGTGTGAGAATGTTACTGTTAATCAGTAAAACGGACTGAGGTATTTCGAATGTTATGATCTCTGTGACTCTCAAATGGTTCAGAGAAAAGGATATGTGAGGGAGGGAGAGAAAGAAAGAGAAAACAAATGTGCAAAATTGGTGAATCTAGGTAAAAAGAGTATTTGGATGGTCATCACACTAGTCTTTCAACTTTTCCACAGGTTTGAAACATTTCAAAATAAAAACTTTGAGGGTTAAATTTAGTTACCTAGGAGGAGTAGTGGCATGAGAGTTTTCTAGGCCAAGGGAGTACCTCTGAGATTGGGCACAGACTTCAAAGGACTAAGGAGAAGGCAGTGTGACCCCAACAGGGCGAAGTGGTGTCCAGGCTGGGGCTGCAGAGCAGAGGGAGATGGAGATGTGCGGTCTCATCCTAAGAGCTCTGTAAAGCCAGTGAGCTGTTTAAAAGAAGGGTTGGCATGATGATATTTCAGTATGTAAAGTTCACTCTTGTCCATGGGAAAGGATGGAGGGAGAATAGGAGCCCTGTAGTGGGGCCCCAGTCATCTGTGTCTCCATAAAATTCAGGATTCATGACTTACAAGCTCCTGGAGCTCTCTTGAGGCCTGCCTGAGGGTGCAGGGTTATGGCAGGTGGCTTAGGCCAAGGTGAGGGGTCTTCTCTGGGGACAGAGAGGGGAGAGCAGAGGTTGAGGAGAGACTGGGGGGAGAAGAGCTTGGGGGCTGTGGGATACACAACAGGGTCAGATACCACCGTTGAGAAGGACACGCTAAGGGGCTGGGAAGTGGAATATGGTGAGTCAAGGTGGGCCTGGAATCATGATGGGATTGGGCTTGAAGGAGGACCCTTGAGCAAGCTGGGAGGCCAAGTGCTGGCAGCCTGCCAGGTCCTGAAGCTGCTCAAGGTAGAGGAGGAGAGACTTCTTTTTCAACCATTTACCAAGCGTGTCCTAGTCTCTGGGCACTGGGCTGACTGGGATATATATGTGTGTGTATAATCTCTTTCAGCCTCAAAAGCATCTGCAAATAAGTGTTATATGATTATTCCTGTTTTCCAACAGATGGATCTGGGGACTCAGAGAGGATGAGAGACTTTCCCAAAGTCACACTGCTGGTAACTGGCAGAGATGCAACCTGGCATAGTGCTAATGTGGATCTGAAGCTTATGATCATTCACAAGACAGCATGTGGGGTTTCAGTAGGGAGCCCCAGCAGCAGGTATAGGGGACTTTTCCAGGATTTGGGAAAGAAGAAAAAAAAAATAGAGCAGATGGACTGTATCTAACAGACCACTTCCCAAGCAGCCACTCTGTAGAGAGAGAGACAGGCTCTAAGATTTACGACATGACGGCTACAATTCTCACCCTAAGGATTTTGTATTCTGGCACACAGGGTATGTGTGTGTGCATAGAGGAGTAGGCCAGAAGCTGAGCTGTGCTAAATGTTCTGTGCATCATGCTCAAAAATGGCAGAAAGTTGGGGAAATCACCTCTGACAATAGCCTGGATTTAATTATGCTAAGATGTAGATGAATGTGTATTTTAAGACTTGTCATCATTTAAAAATATATGTCCAGATGAAGGGCTATTTTGCACAATTAAACTTACTGACATGAGGAAATTCTCCTGATATATTAAGAAGGGGTGGGGGGGGGAGAAGATCTAGAATTCTGATGGGCAGTATGACCTCAAAAATTAAAATAAAAATAATTGGTAAGAAATGTACCAATTAACAGAGAATAAATGTCCTTGATATTCTGTGAACAAGTTGGTGAACAACTTATTTAGTTGAATCAGGTATTTTTAAAAAAGCAACAGCCTTTGCATATTGATTGTTGCATAACATGTATCTTTATGAGATATTATATGTAATGTGTAAGGCCAGAAAAATACACATAAAATATTAATGAATCTGTGAATAAATGGAAAAATATAAGATGAAAGGGAGACTTTGACAACTTAAGAGACTTGAAACACTCAGCCAAGTACAAAATACGGACCTTAATTTGGATGAGCATGCAAACAGAGAGATACATAACTGGGAAATGTGAATATAGACTGGATATTTGATGTGTTTATTAATACTATTTGTTCTTAATATGTTTCTAGGTTATCGATAGTATTTTTAATGTTTATACTTTTAAACAGTCATCTGTTAAACGCGGTGAAGGTCCAGATAAATGACATAAATTCTGAGATTTACTTCAAAATAATTTAAGGGAAGGTGAGAGTTGAGACAGAGGTGAAACAAATGAGGGGCTGAGCTGAAATCAGATCTTGGGATCACAGGAGTTCATTATGCCATTCTGTCTACTTTGGTATAGATCTGGAATTTTCTCTCTAAAAAAATAAATAAATAAACATTAGTGGTGGTTTCCCTCCGTCGTGATCTTGTAGATGCTTTTCCTTTAAACATTTTTTTCTCCATTGCTCATGCTTCCATAAGGAGCATTTATTACAAACAGGGAAAAAGTGCTGTTTGTTGAGTGACTTCCCAGACTGAGGGAAAGTAGGTGGTGCCTTTCAGAGAAAAGAGATGGAAGGGGATACAGAATTGGGGCAGGCCAGGGTAGAGCCATCAAAGAACAGAGGGATGTCAAAGGGTCACTCTCTCATTTGGGCAACAGCTGGAAATAACTGCAGGGCAGCGCCTGGGTTACAGGAGAACTGACCTGCTGGATTCAGAGCTTGAGACAACAGCTCTTGGGATCATCAGCCAGAAGAATGACCTTGAGAAGGGACTATGAAGGGGAGGAGAAACACCTGGCAGGCAGGGACCACAGAATATGATTTTTTCCCTTTAGTCCAAAATATGAGCCAATGCTGACCTGAACTTGAACCCGTTTTTACTGAATTAGTCAGTACTAGTCCTACTTCGAATTTGGTGTGATAGTAGCCAGGTGGTGGTGGGAAGGGCATAGGGCAGAGAAATAATGAAGAGCTGGAGCCAGCATTAAACTGAGCAAGAGAACTCGCCCCTCTGTATCTTCTTGCTCCAATTAAGTGATCGAATGGCAGCAAAGAAAAAAAAAAAACAACTCACTGTCATTCTGTTGTTCTGAGGGCCTTGACCACAGGGCCTTTGCATAAGCTCTTCCCTCCACCTGGGATGCACTTCCCTCTTTTCTTCAGCAGATTAATTTATATTCATCCTTCAGATTTTACTCAGCACAATCTCATTTTCTCCTGATGTCCTCCTGCTCCCAGACCAGGTGGAATCTAATGTTCCCACCACCTTGTACTGCTCTTCAAAGAACTTATGACAGTTTCGATCATACATTTATTTTGGTTATTTGATAATATTTGTCTCCCACAACACACTGTAAAGAACCACGACTATCTTATGACCCCTACACCTAGAACACTGGCCTACAGGCATGCTCTATTTATTGACATTATGAAGAAGGGAAGTCATAGTTGCTACACTAGGTCCCCTACACTTATTTCATCTGGGCCATTTGGGAGCGGAATTAGAAGATGTCCCATCCCCTTCAAGCTAACTAAGAGAGAGAGATATCCTAAGTCTTCATCTCTCCAAGAGCTCCTATAAGTATTTCAGAACACCAAGTCTCTCATTCAGTGGAAAGGTATTCAAGGTAAGGTGCTCACAGGGGGGGGGGGGGGGGAGGTGTACATCAGCGGTCTCAGGGATAATATATGGCGGAGGTGGGGAAAGGGAACATCTATATTGCCCAGTATTTCTTACCACCTCAGCTCAGCGTCACTTCTTCCTGGAAGGCTTTTTTTCACTTTCTCTTCCCCCCCCCATACTCACATTACCCTATTCTTATTAGAACTTGCTGTGATTTGTAACTAGGTTGTTTTTAGTGTGATTTGTTGTCAATTTTCTGTTTTCTCTGTTGGCCTGGAAACCTATAAAACTCAAGATTCAGGACTACTTAATCACTCTTAAGGGCCAGTGTTTAGCACCGGGCCTGGGTCATAGTAAGTAGATATTGAACAAATACTTGTTGACTGAATATAGGAACGAGTACATGAATGACTTCATAGAAAACCTATGGGAAGGCTAGCAAGGCCCAGAGGAGAATGGAGAAAGGAGACAGTCAGGGTCAAAGGAGGGGTAAGGGCAGGCAAGGCTTCTGTTTTCCTGTCTTTCAGGGGCCTTCTATGACGAGCCTTGAGATTTTCAGTCCAGGAGCAGAACTGCACACGTCCAAGATCTACAGTCCCTAGTGTACACCAAGGTCCCTTGGGTTCCTGTGGCAGCAAGGACTCAGAACCTACAGTATTGGGGACACGTGGGCAGCAGGTGCCCCACCACTGACTGGCAACGAGGCAGGGGAAGTTCTGCAAAAGCTCTGCCCTCCCTCTCTCTTCTTGGGCTCCTTGGACTCTTCCAGGCTTCAGACGCCTAACAGGGAGGCCTGGCCCCCAGCCCACCCTTCTCCCCTTAAGACCAACTGAAGGTCTTTCCACTGACATTTCCCTCCCCCACCCCTCGCCCTCAGGGGGTTCCTGTCTCAGCAGGAATTCATTCCTGATTGAAATGAGCAGCTGGGACCGCCTGGGTGGGAGGGTGTGTGGTGGGGAGTGAGATCAAAGGCTCAGTGCGAGAGGGGCCTGTGAGAGGGGGGCAGAGGGTGTGTGTGTGTGCGCGCGGTGCGCATGTGTGTGCTGGTTTGCCCACAGTACAAAGAAGTGAGAGACAGAATAAAAGACAGACAGAGGGAGAGATAAAGAGTGACAGAAAAAAGAGATGGTGAGACAGAGACAGACAACAGGTATACAGAGAGAGGCAAGAAGAGAGACATGGAAGGGAACAGAGAAAAGCAGAAATAGGGGGACGGAAATGAAGAGGCTGGAGATAGAGGAGGGCAAGGACACTCAGAAATAATGAAAGGAGAGACAGAGAGGCACAAGAGGTCAAGAACAAAGACAGAGGAAAAGGAGAAACAGAGACTGAGACTGAGGAAGAGTCACATTTATTCATTGATTCCACATTTATTGAGTACCTCCGCCCTAGCAGGCACCAGTGAGGCACAGATCAATGCAAGGAGATACAAATGGCAGGGACTGAGATGCAGCAGTAAAGACAGAAACTGAGATAGAGACCTAGAAAGAGAGGGAGAGGCAGAGATTTAAACTGAGATAGAGACTGAGGGAAGGACCAGCGGTAAGAGCGAGCTTGGCAGAAAAAAAGGACTGCAGCAGAGAGGGCGGGACTGGAGGGGGCCAGAAGGCTGGGCTGGGAAGCTCTTGCCCCTCCAGCTCTCAGGCCCTTCCTGGGGACCCCCATCTCCAGCTGTGCTGTCTCTGCTTGCCACCCCCTCCCCCTACAACTCCCTTCACCCTCCCCTCTGCCTCTGCTCTTTCCAGAAGCTTCCGGAGAAGGGTCCCCTGACAGCTCCCCCCTCCTTTTCTGTCCCAGGTTGAGAGACACCAGCCTAGCCCAGAGCAGAGGGGTGTAGGCAATTGATGGCTATAAAAAGCCTCTCCTCCATCAGGAGGTCATTTTAAGACTACCCTTCACCCCCAAGAAAATAGGAAAAGGTTCCTTTGGTGGGGAGAAGCCTGTGAATTAAGCTTCCAAAATAGTCAGAGTAAGTGCCTCTCCCCGCTGGGGTCTGTGAACCAGCCCTCAATGCTCTCAAGCTCCCTGAAATCTGGAGCTGACTGATGAAGCCATTTGCAGCAAATCTGAACCCTCCCCCATCTCCTCTACGTCATCACTGAGAAAATGCCGCAGAGAAGAGGGTGGGCTAGAGGCAGTCACCTACCCGCTGGTGCCAGGTCTCTGGGCCTGAGAGAAACGCCAGTCCGTGTTGGGCGGGGCTTGCTGTGGAGAAAACAGAGGGAAAGGGACTGAGTACCAGTGAGAAATCAGAATGTCATTTGAGCCCCCAGGGAGAGTACCCCGGAGAGGAGATAGGGAGTAGAAAGACAGAAGAAAAAAGGTATAAGGTAAGGGATGGGTAGATTCATTTCCAAAGCCAAAATATACCTCAGATCTTAGAGGACTGAAATACAGGAAACACGGATAAAATAATATCATCTGACCACAGTGAGCAAACACAGATTTCTTTGCTTAGGGAACCGGCTCCTTCCTCCCTTCCCCCGGACTCAGAACTTCTGAGCTGAGACTCAGGGATGCAAAATGGGGGGGTGGTGCAGAGAAGGCCCCCAAAAGTGGCAGAGGAGAATTTGAGAGGAGAATTCCACCAGAGTTTATTCAGCTCCATAGCTGGGAACAAAGCTTCCTCTACAGCAAGATGGCTGTGCTCTGGGTAACCCTTTCCATGCCAGGTGATGCTGTAACACATTGGGAGGGAATGCCTCCTCCAGGCCCTTGGCGCTCAAGGATCCCTTCCCACAGCTAAATACATTATTAATTTAGGAGTCATGCCAGACTGGGGCTTTGCAGGGCATCCAAGCCCCAGGACACCTCTCACCCCCAGAACTCTGTGCCAGATAATGGCTGTGACTAAGGAAGAGAGAACAAGGCCACTCTGTTTGGGACAGAAAACTGTTGGGATGGAGCCCAGCAGAGATCAAGCTCCCACAACCTCCAAGCATCGCCAACTATGTCTCCAGGGCTCCCAAGGGGCAGATCTGAAGCCACCTCCCACCTGGACAAAGGTGTGGGACCCTGGCCAGTCATTCCACTCCTGAGCCCTCCCAGTCTTCACAGAGGGTGTTATCCCATCACACCCTGGGGGAGCACTCCCAGAGCCATCTCCTCCCTGGTTCTGGGGTGTGCTAGTAATTAATTCTCACATTCCTGGGAGTAGAAAGAGAGGTGTGAGCCTCTCTGATTACACTGGGGAGAAGGCAGACCCAGGGTTGCCAATGATTCGCTCTAAGGCTCCCAGGTAGTAGCAACTTGAGCAGAACTCAGAAACTTAGCATCCCAGGCCCAACAGGAGTCAACAGCACCGCAGGACCTACAGCATAGGGAAGAGTACTGGCTCTCCAGCTCCCAATCTACACAGAGATGCAGGAATCCTGACAGGCAGAGGAGCAGAGCTGCACTAAACTCACAACCTGCAGAAGGACGACGGGTCCAAGTTTGTTCAGTTAAGGGCTGCTTAGGGATAAGGAGCCCCCTGAAGACTTTTCTCCACATGTCAGGCCTCCAAAGGTCAAGAACCACAGCCCTGTCCCATCTCAGCAGACTAAACCTATCCAAGTGCCAAAGGATTGAAAGCACAATTCTGACGAGTTGGGTTAGATTTTTATTACCTACGTTGTGAACCTGAGCAAGTCACTGACCTCTGGGAAACTCAGTTCTAATGGGGATGCCAGTGCCTAGCCAACAAAAGTGTTGGAAACAGGGTATGAGATATTGTGCTTGCCCCAGCTGGGTGGGAAGCTAACAGAACCACAGGGGGCCATCTTTCTAAAACAGAATTTTCAGTCAGTAGTGGGTTAGGTGGGCGTAGATGAATTCTGAATCAAATCTCCCACTCTTGTGGAAAACTTGTGTTCTTTACCATTATAGTTTCTCCTCATGAGAGGGCACCCTGGCATAAGGCCCAAGTTGCGGTTTCCATCAGCCCCAATAAAGATTGCCAAAGATCCAATACTTCGGTCACCTCAAAGCCTGAACCTGGGTCTTTGGGTATATTATGGTTACCATGGGGTCCAAAGGCTTATTGCTGAGTTTTCAGGGCCGCTCAGGAATCCCAAATCCCGAATCCGGCTTCTCCAGAGAGGTGGCACGCTGGTGCTGGGGGCTGGGGACTGAGGGTTGGGGGCTGGGAGCAGTGCCACTGAGTTCAGCTAAACCCCCACCCCCACACCTCAGGCCCTGACCCCTCTCAGGCCCCAGGGCCCTCAAGGGGTTCTGGGATGGAGGTGCACCTCCTCCAACCCCCTAGCCCCACAACCCGGGCACTCGGCCCCTGCCAGGCGGGAAAGGCTGGAGGGGTCATAGAGTCTGGCCGCCCCGCGCCTAGAGCGCCACAGCCACGCCCGCTCCTCGAGCCCCCAGCGCCCCGCTGAGCCCTGGGAGTGGCCGGCAAGTGGAGGTGGCAGCCTTGCCAGAGTGCCAGAGTCCTCGCAGGCCTGGGCGGCCACGACTTGGGGTCCCCACCAGGACGCGCTCAGTCGGTGTGGTGAGTACTTCTGAGGCCCATCTTGGCGGCCTGAGGGAAGCCCTAAGGGGCTGCCCAGCGCATGGGGACCTGGCAACGAGGTGGCAGTGACTTGTGGTGTGTGTGAGAGCTTGGGAGCCCAGCGTGAGGGGCGTGTGTGTGTGTGTGTGTGTGTGTGTGTGTGTGTCCGCGCTTGCCTGGGCACGCGAAGCAGGTGAGGCCTGTCGAGCCACAACCCCTTGTGGCCGGTGGGTGCCTTCTGAGGGAGGCCTCGTCTGAGCCGCCCCACACCCCCTGTGCTGTCAACAGTTGCCTCTGCTGTGGGGAGAGAAGGGCTGAGAACAACTGCGAGGTCACAGACCAGGGAGTGGGGGGAAATGTAAGAGGAAACCTAAAGGCCCAGCAGGGCAAGCTGGCGCCAGAGTCCAGGAGCATCCTCCCACTACCCACCCCCAAACTGTGACTGCCTGCACCGGAACCCAACACCTGCTGATCTAGCCAGAAAAGTTGCTGGTCTCTTTTCTGAGTCTTCCTATTCCCCAACCCCCACAAGTCACCTCCAGCTCCAGCCTCACACCCCTATCCCTGCTCAGCCACACCTGGGTTCCTAGCAATCAGTCCACCATCCAGGCAGCTGGTGGAGCACAGCCAGAGGCTGAGCCCACCTGAGAAGAATAGGTGCAAGTCAAAGCCCCTCAGTGGACAGGCTAGTGGTGGCTGACCCTCACCTGGCTCCTCTCCCGCATTGTATTAGAGCGGGACCTGAAGGTGTCAGGCTCCAGTGCCAGAGCTGTGGGCTGTGGGACGCTGAGGGGCCTTAGGAAGGTGAAGTCACTGCCATCCGAGGCTGGTGAAAAGCACGTCCGGTAGCAGTGGCTCTGCGAGTCTGTGGGCCGCAGCGTCACCTCCATGTACTTGAGCGTGCCATCTGAACTCACTTGCAAGTTGGGGCTGGACTGCTTATAGAACTCACGGGAAGGTGAGTTCTGGCGCCTGCAGCACTGGCCTCCACCCCCATCCCCTTCTGCATGCCCCCGAAGGCACTTAGCTGACAGAAAGGTGAAGGTCACTAAGGACAAGAGACTGATGGCTGCAAGAGCCACAATAAGGTAAAGGGTAAGGTCTGAACGTTCAGGAGGGTGTGTGAGAAAGTCGCTAGATTTGGGCATTTCCTCTGGGTCCTCATCCTCCAGAACCAGCAGCACTGTTGCTGTTGCGGAGAGTGAAGGGTCACCATTGTCCCTCACCAGGACCACCACCTGCTGGGTGTCAGTGTCTTCATCCAGTAAAGCCCGGGCTGTGCGCACCTCACCAGTGTGTGCAGACACCAGGAACAGTCCTGGGGCTGTGGACTGTGGCAACAATGAGTAAGAGAGCCATGCATTGTGGCCTGCATCAGCATCCACGGCTGTCACCTTGGTGACTAAGGAGCCAGGAGGAACAGAGCGAGGAAGACGCTGGGGGACTGACAGTTCCTGGCCTGGTCTTGGGTGCAGCACAGCTGGGGCATTATCATTCTGGTCCAGGACAAACACATGCAGAGATGCGTTGGCATACATTGGGGGAGAGCCAGAGTCTCGAACTCCCACCACGATCTGCAGCATCTGCAGCAGTTCATAGTCAAAGGTACGCTGGGCAAAGACCCGCCCATCTTCTGGGTTGACATACACAAAGGAGGAGGCTGGAGCTCCCTGAATTTGATTCCCAACAATGGAATAGGTGAGGCGGGCATTATCCCCACTGTCTGGATCTGAGGCAGCCACGGTGCAGAGAAGGGAGCCAGGAGGCCTGTTTTCTGGGATGTAAGCAGTGTAGAGCTGCTGGGTGAAGTAGGGTGCATTGTCGTTGACATCTGAAATGTTGAGTCTGATGGTGAGGTGTGCATGCAGGGGAGGTGAGCCTCCATCACTGGCCAGCAGCTCGATGATATAGTGGGATTCGGTTTCACGATCCAAGGGCTGGCTGGTTAGTAGTGAGTAGTGGTTCTCAGAAGGTTTGATCTGAAACGGCAGGTCTGGAGCAATTTCAAGGCTTACTTCACCGTTTCTCCCTGAGTCTCGGTCTCGCACATTGAACAATCCCACTACTGTGCCCACTGGTGTGCTCTCCAGGACAGGGTTGACCAAAGAGGTGAGTAGCACCTCCGGGGCATTGTCATTGGCGTCCCCCACATCCACTTGAACCACACAGTGGCCTTCCATGGCTGGTTGTCCCTGGTCGCGAGCCTTTGCATGAATTTCATAGAAACTTGATTCCTCAAAGTCTACGGGACCCAACACATGGATTGCTCCGCTGTTGGGATCTAGGCCAAAGAGATTCCTCACTGCCTCAGATGTATGGTCTCCAAAAGAATACTCTAGTTGGCCATTGGTGCCCTCATCTGGATCGGTGGCGTTGAGGCGGAGCAATAGTGTACCAATGGGAGCATTCTCTGGGAGTCCCACACGCAGAACTGAAGACTGGAAGGTTGGAGCATTGTCATTGATGTCCAGTACGGTGACAGAGATGAGGGTGGTGCCTGAGCGGGCTGGGATACCCCCATCCACAGCAGTAAGCACCAGCTGATGTCTAGCCTGGGCTTCACGATCCAGCTGCTGCTCTAGCACCAGCTCTGGGAACAGTTTCCCATCTTTTAGGGTCTTCACATGCAGAGTGAAGTGCCTGCTGGGGCTCAGAGTGTAGAAACTCACAGTATTCGTGCCCACGTCCGGATCCTGAGCACTGTCCAGTGGAAATCGTGCCCCAAGTGCAGCTGATTCCGAGATGCGTATCTCTCGCTCAGGGGTGGCAAAGCTGGGAGAGTTGTCATTGAGATCCAGGATCTCTACCTCTACACGGATTAATTCCAGGGGATGTTCAGTGACCACCTGCACTGGCAGCAGGCAGCTGGTGCTGGCCCCACACAGGCTCTCTCGGTCAATCTTTTGATTCACTGCTAGAGCACCACTCATCAAGCTCAGAGAAAAATAGTGCCCATTCTCCTCAGATCCCAACCGTAGTCGTCGGTTCAACAGATCTGTCACCTTTAAGCCTAGATCCTGAGCAACATTCCCCACCAGCGTCCCCGGCTCAGACTCCTCCACCACTGAGTATCGAAGCTGCCCAGACACCCAGCCCCAGCAGCACAAGGACAACATGCACAGCACTTGCCATTTCCCAGCGAGCTGTGGGGGTGTGTGAGGCCCCATGACCCAGAAGTCCCTTCCTGGACACTGACTCTCTGCTGTCCTGTCTCCAAGGCAGACCCAGGGCTTGGAATGTAGCAGCTGAAATCTCTTAATGTCTCCTTTCAGCCTCTTAAAAACTGCTCCGAGGTTTGTCTGCCTGCAGCAGTTCTTAGTCACCGAATGGCGGGGGTGGGGTTGGGGGAGGGAATTGAAGCCGAGTGGAGCTGGGGAGCTGGGGGAGGATAGGCGGGCAGGAAGAGCAGATCCCCACCTAGGCTGTGAGTCTGATTGGCCAAAAAGTCTGTCTGCTCTCAACCAATTATGAAGTCTCCTTAGTCCAGGAAACCTTAGGAACAGGCGCTGCAAATCTGTGTCACAAAAGCCGCCTACGTCCCCACTCATTTCATGCTGTGGGTTGATTCAGCCCCCTTGGCAGCAAAGTTTTACAGCTCAGATGGTGCTCAACAGGGAGGACAAAGTGGTACAAAACTTCTCAGTGTTCTGTCCCAGCAACTTCCTGCACGACTTCAGAAGCTTCCACTATTTCAACTGAACCCAAGAAAATGCTGTCCTTCTGGGAGAAGCAAAGCCCATGTGTTTCCCCTCCCTCCCCCATCCTGCCAAAGGCTGCTAAAGCGAGAGAAAAGATTTGTTAGGAGCCTGTAGTCTTGCTCTGACTCTTCCTCAACGTCTTGAGGAGTCTCAGTGTCAGCTGATGGCTGGGCCAGTTTTCCTGAGATCCTGGAGTTGAGCGATGGAATGAGCATCGCAGTTTGTGGTAGAGGAAACATTTCTGGGACTGAGCCTGGTCACCCTTGTTCTAGAATCTGGGCATGGTCTCTGGGTTTTAAGATTTCATCAAATCAGAAGGATACTACTTAAAGACTTAGCTCAGTGACTATCTCTGTGAATCTCCCAGCTATAAACCAGTTTTCTTTTACTAAGTGAGTTCACTTTATGCCTTTTCCCCCAAAGAGGTGGTGTTCCCCTGCCCCTAATCTACCACATGAAGCTCAAATCCCAGTGGGATCTTGATTGAAACCCCACAGACCTGGACTAAGAGATCTCTGCTTCCACTGAGAAGCCTCTCCCCTTTGGCTCTCTTCTCTTTGTGGTCTCTGCTCTGCGGTAAGCAGAGCTCCCTCTCTGGGTTAGAGGGTACTCAATACTGTGGGGTAAAGACATTAGTTCCCCTCAACCCACTGGGGAGTTATGGTAGTTCAGAACCTAGACCCTTACTCAGGAAGAGTCAAAAAAGCAACCACCTGGCTTGAAGACACCCAGGTGCATCCTAGGCTTGTGCCCTAAACCCTGCTTTGCACTCACTTCCTGGCAGCATGCTTCCATAATACCCTAGTTCTTGATCATTCCATTTCATTTCTTATTCTCAGATAAGGGCATAGCCCTCCCCCAGCACTAATCTGTGACAACTCCTCCCCAATTAACTCACAACACACTTCTAAAGCACAGCATCTAACATGCAGTTACCACTCACAAAAATGGTGACATCACTATGGGCTCTTACAGAGAAAGCCAATACTCTCTGATATGTGGCCCAGCCATATGCCTGGATCAGAGTAATCCTCAAGCACTGGCTGAGCCTGCAAAGATCTCACCTCTAGCCCATAGAGCAGATCAGAGGGTGGACAGCTTGGGCGGACAGGCTCCCCTGCCATAGGTGCACTGGGTGACTTCACCATCATGAAGCTATCGCTGCGAGTGGGTGCAGAAGCCAAGGGTGTACAGCCATGAGAGTGGCCGCCCACATCAACAAATTTGATAGGATCATCTGATCCTAGCTGGATTCGGAGAATCCCATTGGAAGGAGGAAGTCCCTCCCTCCTCCGAGATCGGGTGAGACAGGCACAGGTGCCGGCAGGAAAGCAGGTCACTCCACAGGCAGCCCCACGAAGACACTTAGAGAGCAGTGCCACAAATGAGCCAAAGGAGACAAAGCAAATCGCCACTAGGGACACAGCCAAGTAGAGGGTTAGTCGGGATTCTCCTTCTCTTGGAGCTGAAGATTCTCGAAGATCAGGGACAACAGGATGAGTGTCTTCTTCCAAGGACACAAGGAGAGTAACAGAGGTAGAGAGTGGTGGGCTGCCACTATCCTTTACCACAATGACCAGCTTCTGTGGTGGAAGATCAGCGGGGATGGGAACAGCTGTCCGTACCTCCCCAGCGTATCGAGAAACTGCAAACAGGCTGGGATCTGGGGCCTCCAGTAGCTGATATGAAACCCAAGCATTATAACCTGAGTCCAGATCCACAGCAGTCACCTTTGTGACTAGGTGACCAGCACCAACTGATGGAGGCAGTGCCTGGGGACATAAGGCACCAGGCCGGGCCCTAGGGCGGAGCACAGCTGGGGCATTGTCATTGAGGTCCAGCACAAATAGCCGAACTGTCACTGTGCTACTAAGGGGTGGGTTCCCCCTGTCCCGGGCCTGCACCTCAAACTGCAGCGTCTGCGTTTGCTCATAGTCAAAGGATCTAGTAGCATGAACAGCTCCAGTCTGGGGGTTCAGAGAGATGAAGGAGGAAGCTGACACATCTCGATTTCTGGGTTCGAGGAGGGAATAGGAGATAAGTGCATTCAGGCCAGAGTCTGGATCGGAGGCTGCAAGGGAGCAAAGCAGATCTCCTGGACGATTGTTTTCAGGAACAAACACCTCATGTGACCTCTGGAAAAAAGAGGGTGGGTTATCATTCACATCCGAAATGTTGAGGAAAATAGTCCTGTGGGTACTTAGAGGAGGGTTCCCAGCATCAGAAGCAGTGACCATGATGTCATAGCTAGATTTGGCTTCTCGGTCCAAGGGTCCAGCAGTCACCAAGGAGAACTGGTTCCTGAAGGCAGACTTGAGGGCAAATGGCAGGTGATCAGGAATACGGAGGCTCACATCTCCATTTGACCCTGAGTCAGGGTCCTGCACACTGATGAGTGCCACCACAGTGCCAGGCTCTGCGCTCTCAGGGAGAGTCCCAAGCTCTGAGGTCACTGTGATGTGAGGGGCATTGTCATTTACATCCAGGAGATCCACCCGAAGGCTGCAATGTTGCTCCATCGCTGGGGAACCCCCATCACGAGCCCGTACATCAAACTCATAGTAATTTTCACTCTCAAAGTCTAAGGGTCCCTGAAGGGTAAGCTTTCCAGTAGTGGGGTGCAGGCTAAAGAGGTTTCTCACACGATCTGGGGTGTGACCACTGAAAGAAAAGGTGATGTTACCACTGGCACCTAGGTCCGGGTCAGATGCATTGAGCTGGATGAGCAGCATGCCCGCTGGTGCGCTCTCCAACACGCTAATCCTGTAGCTGGACTGCTGGAAGGCTGGGGCGTTGTCGTTTACGTCCAGGACTGATACCCTGAGCTCTGCGGTGCCAGATCTTGGGGGGTTCCCTCCATCCACAGCAGTCAGCACCAGGCGGTAGTCTGACTGCTTCTCGCGATCCAAAGGCTTCTCCAGGAGCAGCTCTGGGACCAGACTGCCGTCGCTGCGCTTCTTGACATCCAGTGCAAAGTGTTCATTGGAGCTTAGTCTGTAGCTGCTGATGGAGTTGCTCCCCACATCTGCATCCTGAGCTTTTTCCAAAGGAAAACGCTGTCCTGGCGGGGCTGCCTCCCCAATTTCCAGGTCCAGCTGCTGCCGAGGAAATCGGGGGGCGTGATCATTTACATCTACGATTTCTACCTCTGCTCTATACATTTCCAAAGGCCCTTCGGTTACAAACTCCAGGGGCACGATACAGCTGGCACTGAGCCCACACAGTGCCTCTCGATCAATTGGATTCTTGATGAGCAGGGCTCCGCTGTCCAAATCCACACGGAAGTGTCTTTGGTTCACCTCTCCAGCGACCTGCAGCCTGCGAGCTGACAGACTCTCTGTATCCAACAGGAAATCTTGGGCGACATTCCCTACAAAAGTCCCTTCCTGTGACTCCTCTGGGACCGGGTAGCGGATCTGCCCACAAACGTAACCCAGGTGGCAAAAGAGGAACAAAAGGGTAGCCCCCCGACAGATTTCTACCCAGCTTCTCACCTGGCGGAGCATTGCTGCCACGCGCTAGTTCTCGACCTGGTCCCGAGAAGCCGGAGAAGCCGACCCGCCCCAAACGGCCACAGCAGCTGGAGACACCTATCTCCCTTTCCCCGCGCCAGCACTGGCGCGGCAGGGCCGGCGCTGCAAGGGTTACATGCCGTTTTTTGCTGTGGCGGGGTAGATTTGTCTGCCTTCCACCACCCGATTGGCAGACCGCGGCTCCAGGGCTCAGCCAATAGGCTGCGCGGAGAACATCCCAACAGCAGCAGGGTTAATGCGTCGCAGCATTGGAGGAAAAAAAAAAAAAAAAACACCTATCTTTTCTCCTTCCTCCCTCTCAACAGCATTTCTTTCTATGGGTTATTACCTCTATGGAGAGGCAGACAACATACATGTACTTTTTTTTTCTAACACACCAACTCCTCCGCCCTCTTTGTCGGGAAGAACAGCTGCTGCCTGAGCCCTAGCAACCTGCAGCCCAGAGAGGGAGTAGCCATTTGAGACTGGTCACTTTGTTCAAGGCAGTGTTGTCATCAACCAATATTCTAAACGAGTAGCTCCTACCTTAGTCTGACTGTGTTAGAGCAACAGCTAATGAGAAGCACTGCCATACTCAACTCTGCCCTGCTGCAGATAATTCAGAAACATAGCCATCTCTTTGCAAAAAAAAAAAAAAAAAAAAGATTTACACATTAATGTAGCCAATTAAATTTATGCAGTACACATTTTTGTTGTAACAGGAGGCGCAGCCGGAAACCAAACCTCTCTTATTCAGACACTTGCTAGTGACATACTAAATTACCATTCATTCATTTCAAGGACAGTATGGAAGGAGATGAAACAGGGTAGAGAAAACCAGAAGAGGGAGATGTTCCAAATCAGTAAAGAATCAGTGTGTTTGGAAGGCGCTAAGGACTAAATCTCATTATCTGGCAGAATGCTAATTTTCACAGATTTAATAGCTTCCTTAAATGATTGAGATCAGCTACCAATAGCACTGAACCTACAAATCCTTTTTATTTGACACCTCCCTATGATTGATATGGTGTTAATTACCAACACAGTTTGTTTCAAAAGAGCAAGCCTTTCACTTAGCAAGGGGCCCACCCTAATCTAGGCCCTCCTAGGAGCCTAGTACCACCTTGTACAAACACAGAAACACAGCTCATTTCATATTATAGTTACCTGCAAACACTAATCTGAGTAACAAACACAAGCACACAAAAATCCAGCCTGATATGAACATGAAATTTCTCATCCAAATCTTCACCTATGTTACCACTGGCTGCCAAAAAATAGTCACAAAACCTGATATTCTTAACCTTCCAGATTTTTCCTCTTTTGACCATGGAGAGGCCAGTAACCAACATTCTGATCTCAAAGGGAGAACTTTCTATGTGCAGTTACCAAACAAAACCTCCATAAGAAAGATGGAGCTGTAATCAGCTTGGGCCACTAGGTATTTATGCCAGGATTCCCTGCAGCAGTGAGTGATACCATCATTCACCCAGCAGCCTTAGTCTGGTTGGGGGAAGGGTGGGGAAGGTCATCCTTGACTCACTCTTTTCCCTCACTTCCTGCATTGTCAGTCATCAAGTGCTAGTGATTTATCATAGAGTCAACTCCTTCTCTCTATAGAGTGCTAGTTCAAGCATTAATCTTCTCCTCAAATGTAGTCTTCTATTCTCTTTGCCTCCAGTCTGACTATCCCCAATCCATTTCACTTATGGCTGACAGAATACACTCTAGAATAAAAATCAAAACCCAGGTGACATCATACATATGTCAGTTCAAAATTCTGCAGTAGTCATCATCTATACAGAATGAAAGAAAAACTCATTGGAAACTAAAAATCTAACTCCTGCCTACTCGCTTCACTTTATCTCCTACAAGATTGTCTGTAGGTTCAGCAATAATGAAATGAAATGTTAGCTTCTGCATGGAATTTCTTGCAGGGGGCCCTCTATGCTCCCTTCCCCCTGTGCTATTTGACAACTTACAATTCAAACTTTAGTTCTTAGCTCAAGCATCATCAGCTCTATGAAGTTTTCCTCAGGCTGGTTTGGGTGTTCTTTCCTTTCCTCCTACTACTTTTTGTATTATGCGCTAGCTTTTTTTTTTTTATGTCTGTGTCTGCGTAATGGCAGGGAAGGGACTGTGTTGTTTCATTTTTTACAGTGTCTGATACATAGGAATGCTCAATAAGTGGTGAATACTGATAGTCTCGTTAATTAGTTCAGCAAATGTTTTTGAATACTTGGACTTTATATGAGTATTGTATAGAGTACATGCATTTATGTGTATTACTTTTCACTTTCACAGTTTTGCAAAGTAGGTATTACCTTTATTTTATAGATGGGAAATGGAGTTCAGGGAGATTAAGGGAGGAAGGAACTAGCAAGTGTGCTGTTACTAGGATTCCCCACACTCCCACTCTCTGCTTTGCCCAGAAGGAAAGAACGCCTCTTTCTATAACATCTTGTGGTTTTTCCTTCAATTTGTCATCCCTATAACCATATGCCTGTCCCTTACTGATGCTTAGTATCTGAAAACTAGACCTATTGTAGGTCTCAATCCCTCTTATTTGCAAGTTCAGTTTAAAAAGACACTTAGTCTGTAGCACCAGAGTTGGATCATCATAAAGCCTTGATTCTGCATATTCTTGATTTGACCCGTTTATGCCAATTATGTGATTCTTCCGTCTCTATAGATTAACATATTACTAGTGATATATAACTCACATACCATACAATTTGTCAACTTCAAGTATGCAATGGAATGAGTTTTAGTATATTCACATATAGTAAAATAATGCTACCATCACCACAATGCAATTATAGAAAATTGTTATCACCAAAATAAAACCCAAGCCCATTACCAAGTATTAGATTTTTAAAGAGTAGTTACTTAGACACTAATAGAAAGATTTTTCTCTTTGGATGACTGAAATATCTAAGTTGGGAAATAACATCACAGAATTTTTTTTTTTTAATGTTGACATGCAGCATGACCTTGAAAGCTCCCAAGAGCAGAGCTTCTATATCTTTTAAAAAAATAATATAATAGTTTATTTTTACATCATTTTGTGCCTTTTGCTGTCTCAGTTGTAATCCCCGTGGATTTCCCGTCACCAAATCACCCGTGTGCCATCAATGTGATCCAGTGCACTTCCCTCCCCCCACCGTTTTTAATCCCATTCCCCACTCCACCCCTGTAAAATGTCTCTGGTATATAGCTGTTCATTATTATTATTATCCCCCCCCCAGTCCTTTATACTGCTGCTGTAACATCACAGAATTTTTTAAAGTTCATCTTGCCCAATAAGGCTGGCTCCTGATTCTGTGAATTCCACATTAATACTTTGATTCATAAATGTACTAATTGATAGGCTGGCAGGTTCTAAAGCAATGTTTTTCAAACCTGTCTGCACACTGGAATCACTTTGGGAACCTTCAAAAAATACTAAAGTTCATGTCCCACTCTCAGAGACTTTAGTTGTCTGGGATGTGGCCTGGGACTCATACTTTTAAGGCGATCCTTAGGTAATACTAGTGTGCAACCAAGTTTCAGACATTGTTGCAGGGAAAGGCCAGATTTTAAGTCTGACCAGAAAAGAAGCAGCTGCTTCTCTCTGGCCTTTTTTTCTGTCCTTAATTTTTCATATATGCCTCTACTTTGTCATCTTTGACTAGCTCCAGATTTGCTTGTTTTCCAGTGTTTAAGATTTAAGGTGGGTAAAGAACTAGTAAAAATAATAAAAGTAATAACTACGAATTTTAACACATGTGGCATCCAGGCACCACACATCCATTGTACCAGACATTACTCATCTAAAACACTTGTTACTCCCTTTCTGCAGGTGAGAAAGGAGATGAGTTTATACAAGGACTTACAGCTGCAAAGTGATGGCGCCTTCTTTGTCTAACTGCCAAATCCGAGCATTAATAGCAGCATACACTTACCAAGTAGCAAAATAATACCAGTTTCCAACACTTGGAAGTGTAGGTTTCCTTGAGAGACAAAGCTCTTACATTTATCTGCACAACATCCTGAACGAATGAAAACTATCTCAAGATGTTAACTTACCTAACTTTCACACTATGTATACACTTAAGAAAAATAATGTTGGCAGGATAGTGAATAGCACTAGTAATACAAAAGGACTTTCATTTTGTACTTTATGTTCTTTCAGATTATCAGATATATTTTCAGAATATTTTAATTTTCTAATTAATGGTGTCAGTTATCTTTGTTTTGAGGATTATGGATTGCCTTAATTTTTTTCTTTATATTTTTCTGTATTTTCCAAAATTTTCATAATGTGCATGCATTAGTATTGTAAGGCTATTTTATAAGTCATGTTCAGCTATCATGTCCAGTAATATGCTTGAAATAAAAGATAAAAGGTGCCTAACATTTTATTTCTTTCACAGAAAGGCATCTGAGAATGAAGTATAAAACCTGTGTAGGTGAAAGAAAATTATCAGCTAGCTAGCAGTTATAATGCAGATGTGGCAAGGATGGGAAAGTTGGATGAACTGAGACAGTTTTTACATTTCTCATAGCTGTCACTGATTACATGTGTACCGCAGCTTCCTCCCAACGCAGGTGACACCAAGCTATACTCAGTGCTGAGCTCTTGGGTTTTAGCTTAATGGCCCCTTAGGAAGATTGATTGTTGTGATGATGAGTGCTGTGGTGTGAATTGAGTTGCCAGATGAATCAATGAACTCTGCAGTGTGTGGGACCACAAACCCTGCTCTAGACTGGTGATGACCTCACATAGGCTGAACATTTTATCTGGGAAGGACCAGGTGAGAATGTGGATGCATCATCAGCATAACATCTTCATCACTTTAAAAATAAAAGGCTCCATACCTTCCTGAACATAAAGCAGGAATCAAAAAAGCATTAGTGTCTTTCTAGGATAACTTGCCTAACCCTTACCTGTCCAGGAGGGGAGCTCTCTGCACCCAACACTTGCCTATAGAACACTGGATCACAGCTCCGCAAGGTGTTCTGGCAGCTGGCCAGTGGGCTGGCCACACCAGGTTTCTTCAGCAGCGGGTCACTGCGGCGGGAGTCAGTGGTGAGGTACACCTGATGGTAAAGGTGCGGTGGCATCAGGCCTCCCCTCACAGCGTCCGCGTGCAGAGAGGGCCCTGGTGTTCGGTATAGGGAGCTCACTGGAGTTCGGTATAGATCCCTGGACTGTTTCCACTTGTAAACTTTGAATATGATCACTCCCAATACTGTGACTGCAAACCCCACAGAGACCAGGATTAAAGAGAGGAGTAGATAAAAGGTGAGATTTTTGTTCTGTTCCCTGGGGGCAGCGCCAGAGGGGAACTCAGCCCGGGCTTCTGGAGACTCCTCAGTGACTGATACAGTCAGGGTTGCAGTGGTAGACAGTGATGGCTCCCCATTATCTTTGATCAGGACTGTGAGAGTCTGTCTGGGTGAATCTGTGTCCTGGACTGGGCGGGCTGTGCTGACTTGACCAGTGTGAAGACCCACAGCAAAAAGGCTCTGGTTAGGGGCCCCCAAGAGGCTGTAGGAGAGCCAGGCGTTGTGGCCTGCATCTGGGTCCCAGCCGACCACCCTTGTAACCACATGACCGGCAGCAGTACCTCTAGGCAGTGTCTCCACTGAGCTCAGGCCAGGCCGAGGGTACAGGATCTGAGGTGGGTTGTCATTGCAGTCAGTGACAAATATGTTTACACTGATGTTGGTGGTCAGGAGTGGAGTGCCTCCATCGCTGATATGAGCTATTAATTCGAACTCTCTTCGGTCCTCATAGTCTAAGGGCACTAAGGATGACACGATGCCACTGTCACGGTTTATCGTGAAATAGTGACCCACCAGTCCAGTTTCCGCTCCTTGCTCCATGAGAAAGAAAGAAAGGCGAGCATTCTGTGGTGCATCAGGGTCCCAGACGCTCAGATTTAGTATTGGAACCCCAGGGAGATTATTTTCCTCAATGTAAACATCATAGGACGACTGGGAGGACTGTGGAGGGTTGTCGTTGATGTCTGACACTTGTACCTGCACTGTTGTAAGGGCCGAGAGAGATGGGGTCCCTGCATCTCGAGCGGTGATGCTGAGGTTGTATTCGGGCACAGTCTCCCTATCCAGTGCCGCGCTGGTTTTCAATGTAAAGTAATTCTTGAGGGAAGAGGTCAGGCTGAAGGGGAGACCTGGTGGAACCTCGCAAGTGACCAACCCGTTCTCCCCGGCGTCCAGATCCGTAACGCTGAGCAAAGCGATGACAGTTCCCAGAGGGGCATCCTCAGGGACTGGGCTATACACGGAGGTGACTGTGATCTCTGGGGCATTGTCATTCACGTCCACAACTTCTACCAAAACTTTGCAGTGTGCTCCTTCGGGATTGGCGCCCTTGTCTTTGGCCTGTATGTAAATCTCATGGAGTTTTGTGTCTTCGAAGTCCAGTCGACCCTTGATTGTCAGCACCCCGGTTACAAGGTCTAAGGAGAATAATTCTCGCACGCCAGCGCGGTTGTGGCTGCCGAAGGAGTAAATAATTTCACCGTTGGGACCTTCATCCAGATCCGTGGCACGGACTTGCACCACGAGAGTGCCGGGGGCTGCATCCTCCGGAACTCGCGCCCGGTACAGGGACTGGTTGAAGGCAGGCGCATTGTCATTCGCGTCCAGCACAGTGATGCTAATGGGAAGGCTGGCAGAGCGAGCCGGGGTTCCTCCATCCAATGCGGTCAGCACCAACTGGACGCTTGGCTCTCGCTCTCGGTCCAGGGCACGCTCCAGCACGAGCTCAGCGTACTTGGTGCTGTCCTCCCGCGTCTGCACGCGAAGAGCAAAATACTCGTTTCGGCTCAGCTCGTAGGTTTGTAAAGAGTTGCTTCCCACATCGGGATCATGCGCGCTCTCGAGCGGAAAGCGCGTCCCCGGAGCCACGGCCTCGCTAATCTCCAATTTCATTTCCCGGGTAGGGAAAGCAGGATTGTTGTCGTTGATATCCTGAATGACCACTTCCGCGCTGAACAGCTCTAGCGGGCTCTCCACGACCAACTCCAGAGTTACTGTGCATGAGGGGACTGTCCCACAAAGCTCCTCTCGATCTAGGCGGTCATTTACGAACATCTCTCCGGTCTCTCGGTTCACCTCAAAGAATCTCCGGCTAGCTCCGGACACCACCCGGAGCCTGCGAGCTGAGAGGCTACCGAGATCCAATCCAAGATCCTGGACCACGTTGCCCACCGAGAAGCCCTTCTCTCTCTCCTCCAGGGTTTCATAGCGAATAACCGCGGAAGCCTTGTGCAAGGCACCAAGCAGAAACAAAACTCCCACCACTCTCCCGGTGCTTACCAGTCCTCTCCTCCAGGCCTCTGGGACCATCGCACTCAAAGGCAGTTCCTCCTAGCGGGGTCCGGATCGTCCCGGTTTTCTTCGCTGAGAAACTTTCAGCGGATTAGCGCTTGGGCGCTGGGCGCCGAGTCCGACATGGCTTTCTGGATGCCTTTGATTTGCTCTCCGGCTGTTCAGTCTCTGCCTCATCCCGGGGCGCTGAGAGGGGACGGGCCGGGGCCAGCTCTCTGGCGTCTTCATTGGCCGACAGCGGCACGCAGAGTCCCAGCCAATAACTGCACGAAGAATGCGCTAGCGCCGGATTCTGAGCGGGACAGGCGCTACCGCCAGGAACTTCACTTTCCTTTGGCTTCTTTCCAGAGTTTGCGGCCAGAGCTGCTTGGCCATATCCGCACATCGGAAACCCACCTTAGCCTGGAAAGCCAACTGCAGGGTGATGAAGCCGGCTGTTCCGCAAGTCTTCAAGCCAAACCAAAGCCTATTAACCATTTTAATCGCTGTCTTTACTCGCAAAAAAGGGGATCCAGTCAAATTAAAAACAACACATTTGGTTTGTTGGAGAACTGAGTTCCCATGATACTTATTTAATAAGGCAGGTAAAATACCTACTACAGAATAACTGGGCTTCCAACTGGGCTCTAATTGTAAGGAAGCATTTAGTATTTCTAATGAGATGTTAATAGTCAGTTTCATCTCTTACCAAATAAGACTAGAAATCCCTTTGAGGCCTCAGTAAGAAAAAAAAATCAATCAACGACTCTGGTTTAACGGTGTTTCATGGATTTTAAAATTTCAGATTTCTTTTAAAACTAGGTATTGTTTAATTTCTTAAGAAGCAGGTAGCAAAGTGAAATTTTCCTGCACTGTCTTTCCCAAGGAGCACAGTCTCAGAGCATAAGCTCAGCTTCCCTTTATCTGATCAATGTTTCTTAAGATAACAATGAATATTTGTCTTGCACATTATTTTGATTGCATATAGTCCTTCCTGAAGTGTACCTGAATCTTGAGGCAGAGAAGGAAGCAGAGAGGCAAGACAGGTAGATAGAAGTAAATATATATTGGATATTTACTAAAGAGATGTAAAGCTCTATCATTTGACCTCTCCACATCCTCTAATCTCTCTTAAAATCCCCAATTTTAAACAGTCAAGTTTAACAACTTGATCACCAGGTCACCAAGAAAGCTGATCAACAGTTAAAAAATAAATATGTTGAGGGTTCAGAATGTGTAATACAGCTTAGTTGCTTGTAGGAGCCAACAATTACTATAATGGGCATCATTTGGGAGCTTGTTAGAAAAGCTAAAAAGCCCCACTCTAGACCCACTGATCTAGAATTTGTATTTTAACCAAATCCCTGGGTGATTTGAATGTACATTAAAGTTTGAGAAGTTCTAGTCTAATGGGTTATTCAGCGATAGACTGATTATTAATCTTTTCCCCACTCATCACTGCTTAATTGACAATCTAGTTTTTGAAAATTAGCTTTTAAACATTGAAGTGGTTTTCCCATTAATAAGGCCCATGGTTTTCCTAAGATCTTTCATAAACCAGCAGAACTCTCTTGAATCCATTGTCCACAGTAGCCACCATGATTTTCTAAAATTTTTAATTGGATCATATGATTCTTCTGCTCATAACTTCTCAGTAGCATCTCATTGCTCTTGAAATAAAATACCAAATCCTTGACATAGAGTCCAGGTTCTCATGCCTTCTCTAGATATTGCTATTCCATGATATTGCTTCCAGTGTGATCACCAGCCAACCTCTTTTGTGCCCAGGGACTTCATGCAGACTGTTCCTCCCCTAAGAAAGCTTCTTTCCCTTTGCTTTGCTAATTTCTATAAACCTTTCAGATTTGTAAGTATTTCAGTTTAAATGTTATTTCCCAGTGGAGGTCTTCCGGTAGGATCCCTGTTAAAAGCAGGATCCTTTGTTATATTCTCTCACAGCACCCTATATTTTCCTTTATTGAACATGGCACAGTTTAAACTTTTATAATTTTTTGCTTTAAGGATAATATCTGCCTTCCCCACTAAAAATAGACTTCATGAGAACACAGAAGATGTTTGCTTTGATGACCACTTGTATCCCTGTAGTCTAGTACAATAGGCACTTCATGTTTCTCCCATTCCCAACTCTACTGAGGAAGCTTTTTGCATGTGTGGTGATAATATTTACAATATATTGTCTTAGCAAATTTCAAGTATACCCTATAATACTGTTATTTATAGTCACCAAATGTACATTAGGTTCCAGATTTTACAACTGTAAGTTTATATCCTTTGAGTAATATCTCCTTATACTTAGCAATATAGCAATCTTCAGGAATAGACATCATACAAATGCATTATAGACTATATATGCTGATTTGTATGCATTCATTTTCCTGAGAACTAAGTATTTTTGGAAGATATAGTCACTCATTCAAGCTACATGTGTGCCTAATGCAACTATTTCAAAATGTAATGATTTGAAAGGGAAACCATACTTTGCCAAAGAACCAAGTAAACTATGGTAATATAATGCACACTGGAGAGAAAGGTAACATAGCTAACTGCCTGTGTCACCAATATCCAGGCAACAAGGAAGCACCAATGCATAGGATCAATATAATTTCCCAGTCTCCGTGTTCTATTTCAAGAGAGCCCCTATAAGTGAAGTGCAGCAAACATACGTAATTTAAAAACAGATTGTGAATATTGTATAGAGGTCAAGAATGAGGCCTTGAGTTGCAGTACTGGCTATTATACTTAATAGCTATGTAACAATGAAAGTTTTATTTCTACTGTCTGTAAAATGGGCATAATAGCACTCCACAATAAAAACCAAGACATCTCAATCTCTCATTTAAATCTTTTAACAGCTTTGTGTTTACCATACAGTTCACCTATACAATTAATTTTCTGTTAATTTATAGTTATGTAAGTAATACTGCAATCCAGTTTTAGAATACTTCCATCACCCCAAAAAGTTCCCTCATGTCTATCTGCAATCAGTCCTGGCTCTTCCCATCTCAGTCAGCCACTGACCATTAATTTCCATTTAGTTTTACTTTTTCTAGAAATTTCATTAAATACATATTTTATTACATAAAATAGCCTTTTATATGTGGCTTTTTAAAAAAAGATTTATTCATACAGAACTGTGGGACAGGCAAGAGGTGGAGGGGCAATGAGAGGATACACCAGAGACAAAGTGGGGAGCAGAACAGGCAGATCAATGAAGTACATTAGTGAGGCAGGCAGCAGGCAAGACAGGAGAAGTCTGCCGCACCATGTGGGTCACCTCTGGGCCTGGGATCGAATTCACCAAAGCTGCTGCGGCTAGCTTGCAGTGCTGTGCTTTACCCTGTTGTGCCACCAGTGAGGACCCTGTATGTAGCTTTTTAAACTAACATAATGTCAAACTCAATTTTTTATTTTCTTTTGTTTTCTCAACTTTTAACTACAACTTTAAATCCATTCTCCAACCAGCCTTATCTAATAAGAGGTGTATAGAAGTGCTTAGAAGTCATTCATAACATCTTCTGCTACAACCCCATATTCAGTTCATTACCAGTTTATGCCAGTGCTTACTACCTCTCTGAAATATTTAATTTTTTTTTTTGTGAAGAAGAACTGGGGTACAGGCCAGAGGTGCGGGGTGTGAGAGGATCCACCAGAGACAGATTGGGGAGCAGAACAGACAGATCCACTGAAACACACGGCTGAGGGGAGCAGCTGCTGAGTCAGGAGATATCTGCTGTGCCATGGGGGTCACTACCTTGGCCAGGGATTAAACTCAGGCACAGTGGCTGTGGCCAGCTTCATAGTACTGCACTTTAACCCATTGTACCACCAGGGAGGACCCTAAATATATTTTGAAGCTACAAGTTCCTTTCATCTTTGGCCACCATCTGAGTGAAAGTCATTTTAAATATTCTCAGCACTGCCTTTCTTCTCTTCTTTCATCTTTTGCCTTCCCTAAGTTCCATTTCACATGTAGAAACCTGCAGAACCTTTCAAAAATATGAATTAATGAAATATAAATTAAATACCTGCTAAGCATATTACCAGGATTGGCTACATAATTTGTGGGGTCAAAGCAAAGTGAAAATAGGAAACTCCTTGTTTAAAAATTGTTAAGAATATCAAGATGGTGACCGTGGGGCTTTACCCCAAATACAGGACCCTTCTATAATGGGGACTGATGTGACTATTATGGGTTACATGCCCATGACATTAGTTGTCTGGGATAAACGAAGTTCTCCATAAATACTACCTAGTATTACCCATTAATATTAGGTAAATGTCTTAATATTAAGTAATTACCTAATATTTTTTAATTCCCAAATAGATAAGGTCATTAATATCAGAAAGGTCTATCATGATTCTATCAAATTAGTGCATTCAAGGGGGGAAAATCCCCCTTAAAGTCCTAAATATCATCTAATAATCTTTCAAGTCCATCTAATTTGCATTTTTTGAGATGTATCATAAGGGCAAATCAAAGGATTACTTGAGGGGAAATGTTATAAAGCAGTAACAAAAAAAAATTTAAAAAACAGTGTATCACAATTAGGACAAGAAGGAAATTGAAGGATATGATGAAGAAGCTGAGTTTATTTGAAGATTATCTATGTGAAAAATATTTTGTTATAATTTGAAAAGATAATCTATGAACCTTAAGAATAAGTTTTATAAGAATTCCATTCTTTCTGTCCTTAAATCTTGAAGAGATTATCTCATAAAAATATTTTGGAGCCACAAGCAGTGGCTTGTGATTTTAGAAGTCAAAAGTTCAAGAAAAAAAAAAGATGTTTACCCTTTCTCCCGTTTGAGTGCTATTATTTTCTACACTTGATCACATTAGTACTTTCATTGTTTTATATATCGCAAAGCTTAAATATGTCAAGAAACTCTCTGCAAAAAAAAAAAAAAATACTAAATTTGTCCACATGAAAATCAAGAGACCTAAATTCTCACTAGAGAGAATCTGTTCAGTTTTCCCCCAGCCTTCTGTTGTATTATTACCTAAGTAGTTATCAGTTCTCATCAAATGGGTAATTTTATGGCTGAATTGTTTATTTTTTCTAAATAGAGTAATTCACTTCAATATATAATTTTGTGTAAGAAAGAAGTGTGACTTTCTGATCACTAAAACCCAGCAATATGGAAGTTTAGTATGTAATAAAGATGCTATCTCAAATCACTGGGACAAGGATGAATTCCTAATAAGTGATATTGAGACAATTAGCCACTGTGAAATAATGGATAAAAATTAGGTCTATCTCAGCACAGACAAGAATAAAGTCCATATAGATTGGAGTTCTAAGTGTAAAAACTGAAAAACTGTGCAAGTACAAGAAGAAAAGTGATGAATCTTTCTATAATCTGAGTATGGGGCAAGGATTTCTAACTGTGACTCAATGTAACTGTAATACAAGAAAAGACTGATTTGTTTACATAAAAATACAGGGGAAAAGACGATTACAAAAACTGCCATAAACATCATTGAAAATCAGAT